ATGGATGAAACCTTAGGACATTATGCTAATGAAATAAGCCAGTTACAAAAGTACAAATATTTTATGATTCTACTTATGTGAGATAACTATAGTAATCAAGTTCAAAGAAACAAAGTACAATGGTGGCTGCTAGGGTCTAGGGGAAGGGGGAATGGGGGAATTACTGATGGGTACAGAGTTAAAATTTTCCAAGATGAAAAAATTTTAGAGATGGATGGTGGGGACTAGTGGCACGACAGTGTGAAGGTACTTATGCCACTGAACTGCACACTTCTAAAAATCATTAAGATAGTAAATTTTATGTGTATTTTTACCACTGTTAAAAATAATAATTAAAAATTTTTAAAAACCTAAGAAATTTAGAATACTTGAATCCTGTTTACCTCCTCAGTAATATATTTTTGTTTTTCCAGTGTTTTATTTCCAACTTTTGTTTTTTAGGGAGGTAAATTGGGTGTTTTTTAAAAATTTTTATTTTTCTATTTGTAATCTGACAAATTATAGTTGTATACATTTATGGGGTAAATTTATTTTTCAGCCCTAAGGTAGTTACTCCTGCCTCTTTTTCTAGTCCTTGTCCTCCTCTTTCTTCATTGTGTTATCCAATTAACCACCATTTAGATGTATTAGTAAAGTTTACTAATATCTTTGTTCATAATTGCTTCTAGTATCACATTCTTCCATCTTGGTTAAATTTCTTGTTTTCCAAAGTATACCCTTTAGTACTTGTTTAGCTGAAAGGAAATATTAGTGATAGTTCACTCAGTCTTGTGTGAGAATGTATCATTTCTGTATCATAATTTAGGTAGGTAGGTAATATTATATTGACAATCATTTTGTCTTATCACTTTGAAGGTACAACTTCATTTTCTTCTGACTACAATTTTTAGTTAATAACAATTCAACTGTTGGTCTAATTGTTGTTCCTTAGTAGATAATCTCTATTCTTTAATGTTTTTAAAATCTCTTTGGGTTTGGTATTCTGTAGTTCAATTCCAGTGTGTATAGATATGAATCTGCTTTTATTTACCTTCTAAGTACTTTGTGTTTTGTTTTTTTTGTTTTGTTTTGAGACAGGGTTTCACTCTTGTTGCCCAGGCTGAAGTGTGGTGGTGCCATCTCTGCTCACTGCAACCTTGACTTCCCAGGCTCAAGCAATCCTCCCACCCCAGCCTCCCAAGTAGCTGGGACTACAGACATGTGCCACCATGTCCAGCTAATTTTTGTATTTTTTGTAGAGATGTGGTTTCACGATGTTGCCCAGGCTGGTTTTCAACTTCTGAGCTCAAGCAATCCACCTGCCTCAGCTTCCCAAAGTGATGGGATTACAGGTGTGAGCCACTGTGCTCAACCTCTTCTAAGTACTTTATGCCCTTCCTGCATCCAAGAATTCAAGTCTTATCATTCTTGAAAAAATTTAAGCTTCGTCTCTTTGGATATTGCTTTCCGCTATTCTCTCTTTTATCTCATTCTCTTATGCTGTGTTGAACTTGTCCATTCTAGGGTCCATACATGTTAGCCTTTATTCCAAATTTTCCATTTTTTAAGTCTTCATATTAGATGCTAGTTAATTTCTTCAGCTCTTCTTCAGGTTTATTATTCTTGTCAACTGTATCTAATCCACTGTTTACCTATTTATTGCATTTATTTTATTTCAATGACTATTTTCATTTCTAGGAGTTCTGTTTGATTTTTAAAAACTTGTGCGTTGTTGATTTTTTTAGGTCTTTAATAATTTTAAACATACTTATTTCATAGAGTGGATCTGATTGTTGTTAGGGATCCAATTGTTCTGTTTGATTTATGAGTTACTCATAATAGACAGTTTCCTCATTTGGTTTTTATTATTGGATTGTGAGCTCATATTCAGTGACATTTTGTGTTTAAGAATTATATCTGCTAAATTTGAGCATGTGTCCTCCACAGTAGATTTGAATTTGTTTTGCTTCCTAGAGGCAACTAACCTTGGGTCAGTGTTAATGCCAATTTCTTTTTCTTTTTTTTCTTTCTTTCTTTCTTTTTTTTTTTTTTTTTTTAGATTATACTTTAAGCTCTAGGGTACATGTGCACAACGTGCAGGTTTGTTACGTATTTATACATGTGCCATGTTGGTGTGCTGCACTCGTCATTTACATTAGGTATATCTCCTAATGCTATCCCCCCCCCCCCACCTCCCCACAATAGGTCCCGGTGTGTGATGTTCCCCTTCCTGTGTCCAAGTGATCTCATTGTTCAGGTCCCACCTATGAGTGAGTGAGAATATGCGGTGTTTGGTTTTCTGTTCCTGTGATAGTTTCAGAGAATGATGATTTCCAACTGCATCCATGTCCCTACAAAGGACACAAATTCATCCTTTTTTATGGCTGCATAGTATTCCATGGTGTGTATGTGCCACATTTTCTTCATCCAGTCTGTCACTGATGGACATTTGGGTTGATTCCAAGTCTTTGCTATTGTGAATAGTGCTGCAGTAAACATACATGTGCATGTATCTTTATAGCAGCATGATTTATAATCCTTTGGGTATATACCCAGTAATGGGATGGCTGGGTCAAATGGTATTTCTAGTTCTAGATCCTTGAGGAATCGCCACACTGTCTTCCACAATGGTTGAACTAGTTTACAGTCCCACTAACAGTGTAAGTGTTCCTGTTTCTCCACATCCTCTCCAGCACCTGTTGTTTCCTGACTTTTTAATGATCACCATTCTAACTGGTGTGAGATGGTATCTCATTGTGGTTTTGATTTGCATTTCTCTGATGGCCAGTGATGATGAGCATTTTTTCATGTGTCTGTTGGCTGTATGAATGTCTTCTTTTGAGAAGTGTCTGTTCATATCCTTAGCCCACTTTTTGATGAAGTTATTTGTTTTTTTCTTGTAAATTTTTTGAGTTCCTTGTAGGTTCTGGATATTAGCCCTTTGTCAGATAAGTAGATTGCAAAAATTTTCTCCCATTTCTTGGCTTGGGAACTTTTGGACCACAGAAGCGGTATGGATTTGTGTTGGGGTCCGTGTGTTTCCTAAACAAAGGAATGAACACACAAGACAACACAAGACAAGACAAACATGGCGGCCGCCTCGAATGGCGGCTCTGCTTTATTTTATACAGTCGTTTGTGGAATGTTGCCAAGTCACAAGACACATTGTTGTTTTTCTGACCTTTCCCTGACTTTCTGGATTTTCAAGATGTTTACATATAAACAGGCCCCCAACGCCCTGCTTCGTTTGCCAGAGCAGGACTTATGGGGAACGCCCTGCTTCGTTTGCGAGAGCAGGACTTATCGGGAACACCCTGTTTGTGAGCACGTAGTCCTCTACAATTTGCATCCCAAACGTTGAGACTATGTGATGTAATGTTACGAATTTCTACAGGAACAATATTTTTCATTCATCACACACAAGGCAAGGTAGATAAAATGTCTTGTCCTTCTTTGCTTTGTGGAAGATTTTTATAATGTACCGTTTTTCTTAAGCAGTATACATTTTAGGGTGTGTATATAGGGAAGCCTTTGTCTTCAAACTCCCCACCTCATGTAAGCTAAGCATAAGGTCTTTTCATCTGTTCCTTTGTTTTTGTTTTGTTCTTACCTTATATAAGTGTAAGGTATTCGCTTTTGTGTATGTTAAAATTCGAGAACCTAGGAAATGAAAACCAACAATTCCCCAACCACACTCAGCTCTAATGCTTATTCTTCTGATTTTTAAGCGTTTCTTGATTACTGACCTCTAAGAATTTCTCTTTGTAAAAAAGTTCTTTTATACGTTTATACAAATAATTGTTATATTTTATCTAGCTTTTTTTTTTTTTCCTTTTGAGACAGAGTCTTGCTCTGTTGTCCAGGCTGGAGTGGAGTGGCGCAGTTTTGCTTACTGCAAGCTCCACCTCCCAGGTTCACACCGTTCTCCTGCCTCAACCTCCTGAGTAGCTGGGACTACAGGCACCCACCACTACACCCGGCTAATTTTTTTGTATTTTTAGTAGAGATGGGGTTTCACCGTGTTAGACAGGATGTTTATATAGCATTTTTAAGAGTTTGTAATAGAAGAGTTTTTAAGTTATTTAATCTCATTACTAAAATGTAAGTCTCTCCTAATTATTCAGAATTGGAAATGTAGTCTAGAAAATCCAAAATATTAACTGATATTCTACTTTAGGAATGTTCATGTTTCGGATAAGTTCTTCTAAAACATGTAAAGGGTCAATATTCTTTTACTTCAAAGTGCCTTACAACAAATATACCCAGGATTTTTCTAGTTACCTGTTTTATTTTTTCTTCCACTTTTTTATAGAGACAGGGTCTTGCTATGTTGCCCAGGCTTGTCTCAAACTCCTGGGCTCACGTGTTTCTCCCACATTGACTTCCCTAAGTGCTGGGATTACAGATGTGAGCTACCATGCCTGGCTTTAATTACTATTTTCTAGTTAAACCTAACCTGCTATAACAAGCACTCAACTTTTTCTCTCTATTGGAACTTTAGTTTTTGAAGGATATGCCTCTTCTTTTATAGTTTTTTAAATTAGTAAGTAGTTTGTTGTACATTGTTGACATTTATTTTCTTAGGTTTCTATTAAGGAGTTTAAACATAATCTCCAGGCTTTTCATAGTGTTGGCCTAAATATCAGGAGCTTTTCCCCCCATCTCATTGTAAAATTTTTATAGCTTCATTTTTTTTTACGTGTATAGGTTTGACAGGTAATTATCAATAATGAGTGTTCTAAACCAAATATTCAGTTTGTTGTTAATGGGTATGATGGTTTAAATTAAATTGTTCCTCTCAATGTCATCAGCTACGTAACAGCTGTATAGTGTTACGAAATCTGGAAAACTATTAATGTGGGGATAATACAAAATTTAACATATATACAAGGATTATTATTTTTCAGATAATGACAAAGATGTGTTTATGAGATAATAATGTCTTGTGTATCTTAAGTAGCTATTTTAAATTTAAAATTATTTCTAATCTAGTAGATTAATAAAAATGTAAATTTCTTCAGGTTCAGTCCTCAGTGGCTGTAGGAACCCCAGATTATATCTCTCCTGAAATCCTTCAAGCCATGGAAGATGGAAAAGGCAGATATGGACCTGAATGTGACTGGTGGTCTTTGGGGGTCTGTATGTATGAAATGCTTTATGGAGAAACACCATTTTATGCAGAATCTCTGGTGGAGACATACGGAAAAATCATGAATCACAAAGTTAGTATATTTTACTTTTGTTCAAATTAATGTGGTAAATAACACATATAATAATATCATTTTTAAAGAGAAAATATTTTTCTAAAAACAGTGAACAATCACATTTCTATCCTAGTACGGGACACGACAAACATAAATAGTCAAAAATCCATAAATTATTCATAAGTTACTAGTTCTCATTTTCTTGTATTTTATTAGAGATGCTGCTAAGTAGGAAATTAAGTGGTCTCTCCAGTAGAATAACAAAGGTCATAAGCAGAGAATTTAGATCATTGCTTACTATAGTATATGTATATAGTACATGTATAATCATGACTAGAATGTGTGTAAAAAAAATTTTCAACTTTAGTAGTAATAAGTGCAATACAAATTTAAAATAAGAATGAGATACTTTTTTTCTTGTCAAATTAGCAAAGATCAAAAGACAAATAGTACTCTGTACCATAAGTAATGCGGTGAGATGGGCATTCTAAGACATTAATAGGAATATAAATTGGTGTAACCTTTCTGTTCAGAAAGTATACAGGTATGCACCTAGAGCCTTAAAAAATGGTTAGAGGTTTTGATTGAGCAACTTCACTCTAGGAATCTACCCTATGACATTTTCAGTAGAACAAAGATATATGTACAAGGATACCTATTCTAATATTATTTATGATGACGACATTAGAAGCAACACAGATAACACAACAAGAACAAATTAATGAAACTTTAATATATTTAGTACTAAGTGAAATAGACTTCATAATAATAAGAAGAAAGGTTTTATTAGCAGTCTTAGAAGATTGTGAGCAGTTGCAAAAACCTAGAATATGAATATCTGATAGAAGGGGATAATCTGTTCTTTTTAATTTGTTCCAGTGAAGCAATTATGATTAGTTGCTTTACATATATAAAAATCAGTTTTATAGGGCTTATGTTTTTCTACCTGGTTGCAAAGACAATGTTTCAAGTAGTTACAAAGAGTTGAAAGACTGGAAATAGCAGCAAGGTTGTAAATAGCATGTACATCATTTGAATTAGAAAAGAATATTGTAGTATAACATTATATTTAACAGCACAGATTATAGCTTCAGTTCGAATTCTGGTTCTGCCACTTACTAGATGTGTAATGTTGAGAAAGTTATTTGAATTCTCTGTGTCTTTATTTCTTCTATAATAGTAGCATAGTAGGAGTACCCACCTAAAATGGTTGTTTTGAGGGTTAAATGAGTAACATACTTTAAATAGTGTCAGATACATATTATGTCCTTTAAAAATATTATTAATCATTAGTATGTAACTTATATGACCATTATCAATCATCTATGCTCGATTTAAATATTGAGTCAAATTCCACTACTTTTAAGTAATTTCTCTTCATTCTGATAGCAGTTTAAGGTATAATGTATTCTTTTTTCTATAGCACATGCATGATAACTCATATATGAAATTAAAGTCCTAGGAAAATGATCTTCTGTCATTCATCCCTGTATTCCTTTAGTATTAGTACTTTGCACCAACATACAGTTATTAAATATATTTAAAAGAAAATGTATTTTTAAGAAAATAAATAAGTCAACCAACGTACTTAGTATGTTAAACACTGATTTATATTTTGTTTCTGTTTTTCACTGTTTAGGAGAGGTTTCAGTTTCCAGCCCAAGTGACTGATGTGTCTGAAAATGCTAAGGATCTTATTCGAAGGCTCATTTGTAGCAGAGAACATCGACTTGGTCAAAATGGAATAGAAGACTTTAAGAAACATCCATTTTTCAGTGGAATTGATTGGGATAATATTCGGAACTGTGAAGCACCTTATATTCCAGAAGTTAGTAGCCCAACAGATACATCGAATTTTGATGTAGATGATGATTGTTTAAAAAATTCTGTAAGTATGACACTGTGAAGAAGTTCTATCCCTCTGTTTCTTTCTAATATGGTTATATAGTAATTTTTTGGTTTATAAGTATTTTGCTAGGATGGTTTTACAATTTATCAGTTATCAGTCAGTGATCATGGCTTCCAGTGCTTATTCTGTCACAAATCAAATTAGGAAGAAAGTTAACTGAGGTGAACATAGTTATTTGTGACTAAGAACAAAATTCAAAGTTTTACCTCTTAGATAAGTTATGCCATTAAGCTTCCTAAGAGAACAAATTAGATACTTAAAAAAGCAGATTTTATGATTGCAAAGTGAAGAGGTTGGCAAATTTCTCTCTAAAACCATAGAACTGTACAAAATTGTCAAAAACAACCATGTCAGGGCTTGATACAACAATTGAAGAGAAATAAATTGAGAAGCATTTATTTGTAAAAAGCTACTGAACTTTAGTTAAAGTCACATATACCACACACTTCCATCCCCACTACTGACTTGGTCTGGGACAGTAGTACTAGTAGCATGGAACTGGATAGAAAAATCAGCAGCTTTGCTGATACAGAGGGCAGATTCCAGGACTAAATACCCAAGCCCAGTGTGTTGCTGCTAACAATAGCTAACTTGGTAGGAAATCAATAGGGAAAATAGTCCACAGACGTGGTATAGCCCTGAGCTATAACCCTGCCTGAGGTGAATATCTGACCTCAAGCCAATTATTTGGCCAGTCCACTAGCCAAATAATTCGACCATTCTTAGCTTGTGAGCCATGCCCAAACAGGCCAGCATAGTATATCGACCTCTGCTATAACCCTTTAGGTTATATGAGATTAAAATTTAGGAAAATAAGAACTTAAAATGTTTGTACTTTTTGCCTTTTTAGTCGTCGTCGTCATCGTCGTCGTCGTCTTCTTCTTCTTCTTCTTCTTCTTCTTCTTCTTCCTTCTTCCTTCTTTCTTCTTTCTTCCTCCTCCTCCTCCTCCTTCTCCTCCTTCTCCTTCTCCTTCTTTTTTTAAAAATTTTTTATTTGAGACAGAGTTGCTCTGTGTCTCCCAGGCTGGAGTGCAGTGGCATGATCTCGGCTCACTGCAAGCTCTGCCTCACGGGTTCATGCCATTCTCCTGCCTCAGCTTCCCGAGTAGCTGGGACTGTAGGCACCCGCCACCACGCCCAGCTAACTTTTTGCATTTTTTGTAGAGATGGGGTTTCACCGTGTTACCCAGGATGGTCTCAATCTCCTGACCTCATGATCCGCCTGCCTCAGCCTCCCAAAGTGTTGGGATTACAGGCATGAGCCACTGCTCCCAGCCACTTTTTAACCTTCTTAATTTGAGCTTTTATTTTTTTTTCAGTTATTTTATTTACTATGGCTTTAATTCTGTACTAAACATTTTTATGTTAATGTTATATGACTTACAATTTTTTTAAATTTTTGTGGATACTTAATAGGTACACGTTATATTACTTTTCACTGAAACTGTGAATACTCTTTTCAGTACAATAAGCTGTGATCACTGTTTGATAACTGTAATTATAAAACCATCCTAATACTATATTCAAGGCAGATAAAAATTTCTCATACTTTCCTGTCTAAACTTCACAAAGAATAGTTAAATGGACTTCTCTTACCAATTTTTTATAAATAGAATTATGTTTACTGTTAACAAATTGTGAATCATTCCAAATTAAATACATAGTACAGTTGATTCTAATTATTCATGGTGTTTATGTTCTATATAATTGCCTTGAACACTATTAGCTAATATTGAACCATTGCTCTGAGGGAAGTACAGGGTTAGGTTTCTGTGAGCCTCTGATCAACTGATCAATATATAGTCTTGTTTTATGTGTGCTTCTCTTTAAAGACACTTTATATAATATAGTTGATTCATTAACACTGAACTCACCATTGAACTCACCACCAGCAGCACTGTAACTCGTGCCTGAATGAAGCTTTTCTAGCATATTATTTTCTCCGTAAAGGCACGTCACTGTCCTCTTGTGCTGGGAACACTAGACAGTGCTTCAGCACTATGCTTGGGAGCCTTTTCAAGCAGTGAATCACATACAAAGGGCCCAAAAATGTGAAATGCATGACACCAAAGAGACCCTGTAAAGGACACTTGTTTATAATATGAGCGCTTAAATGAGAAGGCAGAGCCTCTCCTGTTCAACTTCAGCTGGGAATGTGAGCATAGGACATCTCAAATTTTTCTGTGCTCTGCACGTGTCTACAAATAATCATAAAATTACCACAAGTATTGATTTGGGGTTTACAAATAAATATTAGCTTCTATACAAATTTGCAAATACAGAGTACATGAATAATAATGACTGTATTCTCAATATTAGACTTTCCATCTTTAATTTAATTAGAATTTTAGAGTAGCAGTGTTCATGGTCTGAATTTTATATCACTAAACAACTATACCAAACTTATCAGTGTTTTAAAATTGAACAGTCAAAAATTTTTTTTGTTAATTTTTTTTGGCATTTATATTTATAGCCAAGCCTACAGATCATAGCTATCTATTTCTTACCAGATGTTTTTTCCTCCTTTAGGAAACGATGCCCCCACCAACACACACTGCATTTTCTGGCCACCATCTTCCATTTGTTGGTTTTACATATACTAGTAGCTGGTAAGTTTGAAAAGTTAACATAGTTTGGGCGAGGTGCAGTGGCTTATGCCTGTAATCCCAGCACTTTGGGAGGCCAAGGCAGGCAGATCATGAAGTCAAGAGATTTGAGACCAGCCTGGCCAATATGATGAAATCCCATCTCTACTAAAAATACAAAAATTAGGTGGGCATAGTGGCGGGTGCCTGTAATCCCAGCTACTCGGGTGACCGAGGCAGGAGAATCGCTTGAACCGGGGAGGTGGAGGTTACAGTGAGCCGAGACTGCGCCATTGCACTCCAGCCTGGGTAACAGAGTGAGACTCTGTCCCCCCCCCCAAAAAAAAAAAAAAAGAGTTAACATAGTTTGGACAATTTAAAGCAAATTAAATTGAATTGAGGTTGGTAAAAAGTGTATGAGAAAACTGTAAATTAAAACTTTTTAAAAAATAGAATGAGCCTACTGCTGGAAATAGAAAGTTAAGCGTTACAAAATTAGTAGAATACATGAAAATCTGAACTCGTTTTGGAGGGGAAAGAATGGAACAGAGAGCTCAGAATCTATTCCTTAGCAATGAAGCAGTAATTAGAAGAGTTTCATGCTGTTGAATATTCTCTAGATGTCAAGCAGGAGAACTATCAACCCATTAATTCTACCATCTTTTACACTGACCCTCCCTTCACTTATATTCCCTATTTCCCCCTTACCCTGCTTAAATTCCATTGAGAATGATTATAATCACTCCTTATATGCTGTTTCAGTTTCTTTGACTGTCTCTAATTCTGTTATACTTGCTTTGCTAAGTCAACATTAACTCTTAAAATTTTGTTCTCTACCTGTACAGTTTCAAATGACTAGAAAAAATAGCTGACTATTCTTACTGGTCTACTTTAAATTCATGATTACCAACCTCAAGTGCCCCTTGTCTGACAAATATACTGTATTACTCTAGTGTATTCACTCTTCCACTCACCTAGATAACTATTTTGTACTTTCCTTCTTTTTTTTTTTTTTTTTTTTTTTTTTTTTTAGAGATGGGGTTTTATTCTGGGCAGCAGAAGGGCTGGAATGCAGTGGTGCAGTCCTAGCTCAGTATAACCTCAAACTCCTGACCGCAAATGATCCCCCTGCCTCAGCCTCCAGAGTAGCTGGGACAATAGGCACAAGCCCCCATGCCCAGCTAATTTTTAAAACGATTTAGAAATGGAGTCTTGCTGTGCTGTCTAGACTGGAGTACAATGGCACAGTCATAGATCACTACAGCCTCCTACTCCTCAAGCCATCCTCTGGCCTTAACCTCCCCTGTTGCTGGGATTACAGATGTGAGCCATTGCATCTGGCATATTTCTTTCTACTTGAGTTTGAAACCTCACGTTCAGCAGACTTGTATCCCCTTTCACCGAAAGGATTGAGGCAAACCACAGACAACTCCCACAAGCTCCAGTTACCATATTTACCGCCTACTTACTGTTGGACCAAAATTCTCTGTTCTTTTCATGGATGAACTATGCAAGCCTCTAGTAAGGCCAGTCTCTTTCATTCCTTCCTGGCTGGTCTAGTACATGTTTTGCTTTTATGTCATGAATTTTTTCTTCTTGTGTCATCTGCATCATCAGATTATTTCTATCAGCTTGCAAATGTCAGTTCCCCATCTTAATACAAAATATAAAATCTGGATTCTACTTCCTTTACCTCTTATCAACCATGTCTCTGCTCTACATTATAGAAAAATTACTTCAACTTTTGACTATATTTTGTTTATTTTTCTCATACTGTTGTTTCTTGAATTCATTCCAGTCAGGTATGTGCCACCATCACTTCATGCAAACTGCTTTTATCAATGTCACTGTTGACCAACGTGTTACTAAATCTAATGATCACTTCAAAGTTCTAGTCTTACTTATTTGCTTAGTCTCATCTTATTTGCCACAGCTCCATACTTTTAAAATACCTTCTTCTCCTATCTTCTAGGACATTTGACTGATTTTCTCTCACCTTGCTGGTCATTCCTTCTCAGTCTCCATACCTGAACCCTCCTGACTTCCCTGACTTGTGAATATCAGAGTGTCCTATGGCTCAGTCTTTGAACTTCTCTTTTCCATCTAAACTCTCTAGTGTTCTCCCAAAGATTTGCTGATGAATCCTCAGTGTGCAACTCCTGAGACCTCTCCTCTCGTCTGCTTAAAAATCTGTCTTAACCACCCACTTACTATGTAAATAACTTTCTTTTATTTCTCTGAACCTGTTCAGGTGATCCTTTAAAAGGTAATCAGAACATGTCACTCCCCTATTCAGAACCAGTCCACTCATCCCCAACTCCAGTGGCTTCATATCAACTCCAAATCAAACTTCTTACAAGGCCCTACATGACTGCCTTACTTTTATCTTTCTGAGTTTATTTTTCTTTGTTTACTCAACTCCATCCACACAGGCCTCCTTTCTGGCCTGTGAACATACCAGACATACTCTTGTCTCAGGGCTTTAGTAGTTCTGTTTCATCTGCTTGGAACATTCTTTCTTTTGATATTCCCTTAAGTGGTCCCCTCACCTTTACTTAGCTTTTTCCAAAGTTACTTTAGCAGTGACAGCTTTACTGACTACTTTATCTAAATTTGTATCTCCTCCCCTTCAATACTTTATTTCTCCTTTTCCTGCTTTATGTTTTCTCCTTAGCATTTAACATTTTCTAATGTAATGAATATCTCAATTATTTTGTTTATTTCTGTCTCAGTCACTGGAATATAAGCTCTACATGGGCAAGGATTTTTGTCTGTTTTGTTCACCACCAAATGTCCAGCAGTTTCAGTATTTTTATTTAAATCCTATTGAATTAAAGACAGAAACTTGCTTTTGAATTTCAAATTCCAGTAAAGAGGGCCGTGGTTGGTGCTTTTGACTACTACTGTTTCACCTAGGAGGTCAAATTGTTTTAAACTACCAGTAACCCTTCAGCAAACTTCATTTTATAATTTGTGGGGTTTTTTAAATCAAAATAATTTGGGGGATATTAGGTTTTCATTTTTTCAAATGCTTCTAAAAACAGTTTATGGTGATTTTGCAAAAATATTTTATAATTATTCCAGCTGGCTAAGCTGCAAGATATTCAAATCTGTGTTTTAAATGAGCAGTTTAAAAATGTTTATGCCATGAATGTGGAGTCAGTTAAAAACATTTTTCTTCAAACTTTTTCTCACAGTATGAACCTACTTTTTTTTGTTTTTTTTTTTCTTCAGTGTACTTTCTGATCGGAGCTGTTTAAGAGTTACAGCTGGTCCCACCTCACTGGATCTTGATGTTAATGTTCAGAGGACTCTAGACAACAACTTAGCAACTGAAGCTTATGAAAGAAGAATTAAGCGCCTTGAGCAAGAAAAACTTGAACTCAGTAGGAAACTTCAAGGTAAATATATATTCACTTTTTGAATTGTACTCACAGTGTTATGAGGTGTTTATCGTAAGTGGTTGTTTTATCTTTGGAAAAAAATCTTTTAAGTGGTGAAAAATCAGTTGTAGAAATTTTGCAGAAAACAGCATAATACCATTTATATAAAATCACACAATTAATAATAAACAACAACAAAATAGCTTTTGTTTCCTGTGGGTACATATTTATGTTTATAAAAATGTGTGGGAATACCTTTGGGGATGGGGAAATGGGACCCTCCTCACTTTGTTATAGCACTTTAATGACTTTTCCTATCTTATTTGCTCAATATTTAAGAGCTCTAGCTCCTTTCATGTTGTCATTCTCTGCAGCATTGCTTCTGCCATATTTGGTGATTTTAAAATGCACATACACATAAACTTTTTAAGATTCTGAGTGAGTTTCTTTATTCTTCACCTTCAATGATTGTTTTCTCCATTTCATTTCATCCAGTCCATCCTATGGTAATAAGTATGTCTTAAGATTACCATATCTAAAACTCATTAATTGCAGTTTCCAGCAAATCTTTTATAATCTCCTGCTCATAATTTTCTAGTGCTCTCTCTCTCTGACTCCTTAACTCCAATATTCCTTCACTGCCACCATTACCTACAAGTCTATCACCAATTTAACTCTGCTATTTATACCCTCATTTTTCATTCTCTGCTCAACCATAATCATACCCTGGCATATACCTTCAAATCTATTGTTCCGCTTTCTCTTTGTCAGATACCTTTGGCAGAACCCCAACCGTGTTTGAATACAACTTTGTGTCTTCAACTATCCAGCTGAAGACAGCTTACTTAAAACACCCACAACATGCTGACTACTAATATTAATTCAGATTCACAGGCACTCACCTCAGGTCAGCTCTTCATGCTGCCTAGCAGTCCTACTTTGTTCCCCTAGTCTGTTTCCCTATCCTGTGCTGTAAAATCCAGTGATCATTTCTGTCTTCACCTTTTAACCTATCAGCAATATTTGATCCTGTGGACCATTTATTCCTCCTGATAATGCCTTTTTTTTTTTTGGCGGGGGAGGCGCTTCCGGGGCACTTTATCTCCTGGTTTTCTTTTTCCTCATAAACCAGTCCTTCCCAGTCTCCTTTGCTAAGTTTTCCTTAACTCTTTGACCTTTGAATGTTAGAATACTCTCTACTTGAAGCAAGTCTCTAGTTGAATGATGCCTTCAATGAAGGTTTTCCAGACCATCCTATTTATAATTTAATCATATGTATATCCCCAGTACTACTATCTACTTTTTCTGCTTTTTTCTCTAAAATAAAGGATGTCGCGTATTATATATTTTACTTACATATTTTGTGAATGAAGGAATGTATTTATGCACAAATAATCAGGAACTTGTAACTCCTAGGAGAGAAATAATCAAAGTTTTACAATCACAGAATTTTACTCTCATAGTTTTAGAGGCCAAGTAGAGAAAAAGGCTGTGTAGACATCAATAGAATGGACTATTTTCTGTTTTTCCATAAGTTGTTAAGATCTCTGCATATGAATTACTTCCCTTTTGTGACTGAAATTTTTCTGTTTGTTTTTTTATGTGGTGACATAGCAAAGTGTGCAAGCATTCTACTTTTAAGTATAAGCCTAATAAATGTTTGTATATGTGTACACTAATGTAACCTTCACCCATATTCATGTGTAGAATATTTCCGGCATAGAGTAAAGTCCTCAGATGCCACTTCCCAGTTTGTAACTTATCACTATGAAATAAACATCATCCTAATTTCTTTCACCAAAATTAATGAATTTTTACCTGTTTTTGAACTTCATATAAATGGTATCATACAGTATATTCTCTTTTGTGTATGGCATTTTCACTTGCTGTTTTTTAAAATTCACCCATGTTTTGTATATATCAGTAGTTTGCTCTTTTTTTTTTTGGACTGCTGTTTAGTATTTCATTGTGTATAAGCACTAAAAAATTGCCCAGTCTGTTGTTGGTAAATATTTGGGTTATTTCCAGATGTTGACTACTATGAGTAAAGTTCCTGCAAATGTGCTTATATGTTTATTTTGATGGTCCTGTATACCTGGGAGTAGAATTTCTGGGCCATATAGTAGAGGATTTTCAGCTTTAGAAGGTATTTTCAAAGAGTTTTCCAAAGTGATTATACCAATGTATAGTTCTACTAATAATTTATGAGTTCTACTTTCTTCAGCTCCCCACCAGAACTTGATATTGTCAGCGTTTTTAACTTGTAGCCATTCTGGTAGAAGTATAGTGATATCCTGCCGTGATTTTAATTTGCATTTTCCTGATGGATAATGAGTTTGAATATCTTTTCATATGTTTACTATCCATTTGGATATCTAGTCTTGTGAAGTTCTGGTTCGAGGTTCTTGCCCATTTTTCTGTTAGGTCTTTATATATCTTTTTCTTAGTAATTTGTATGTTACTACTTCACAAACAACGTAGAAACCTTTAGACAACCAGCTCCTTGTATGACTGTTGTTATGTAGTTTACCTTAATCTGTGTTATAAATCTTTTAATACATTTTTACTCGATTGTTGCTTTACGTTTTCTTTACTCATTAATTTTAAGTATCATTTAATTTACCCATTTATTTACCCTTTTGGTGCTTTTTATTTCTCCCTAAATTCTATGTTTCTATCTGGAATCATTTTTCTTTAGCCTCAAAAACTTCCTTTATTGTTTTCTTGTAATATAAGTGTGTTGTGACAATTCTTGATAGGGTTTTGTTGATGTGAAAATGTCTTTATTTTTACCTTCATTTTGGAGGAATACTTGTGCTGGATTAGAATTCTAGCTTGGCAGCTTTTTCTTTCAGAGCTCTACATGCATTATTTTATTCTTTTCTATAATAGCTTCCATAATATTTCTTGAGAAGCCAGCTGTTAATCTTAATCTCTTGAATGTAACGTATATGTTTTCCCTTCCGGCTGCTTTCAGGATTATGTCCTTAACTTCAGTTTCAAATAGTTGGACTGTGATTCACGTACGTGTAGCTTTCTTTGTATTAACAGAAAATCCTGGTTGAGATTCACTGAGCTTTTGCAATCTCGTTTGATGTCTTTTATCAGTTTTGCAAAATTCTAAGCCATAGTCTCTGTAGATACTATTTTGCCTCGTGCACTTTCTCCTCTCCTTCTGGGGCTGTAATTGCGTATATGTCAGATGGTATCTCACATTTCCTTTATGCTCTGTTCTGTTCCTTCCATTGTTTCTTTTTTTGTGTGTGCTTCATTAAGATATTTTCTATTGATCTGCCTTCAGGTTCACTAGTTCTGTCTTCTGCTATATCCATTTTGCTGTTAAGTCCATCTGATTAATCTTAATTTCAGATATTGTCTTTTTTAGTTAAAGTTTATTCATTTGATTCTCTCAATTGCAGTTTTCTGTTGAAATTTCCCCATATTTTTGTGTATTTTTTCGCTATTTTCTGTAACATTTTAATAATATTTTGAGGTCTTTATCTGTTAAATTTCAACAACTGTGAACCTGCCTTTCTGTTTTTTTCTTCCATTTGTCATGCTTTTCTGCTTTTCCAAATGTCTCATGTGAAAGATGTCAGGAATAAAAATAACATAGAAAAGCAAGTTTATATTATTTTTGCCCCAGAGAGGCTTCTCCCTTTTCATTCCATCAAGAATTGAGCTTGGACAAGACTAAATTGCATTTTTTTTTTTTTTTTGGAGGGGGGGGACGGAGTCTCGCTCTGTTGTCCAGGCTGGAGTGCAGTGATTTGATCTCGGCTCACTGCAACCTCTACCTCCCCAGTTCAAGTGATTCTCCTGCCTCAGGCTCCTGAGTAGCTGGGACTACAGGTGTGTGCCACCACGCCTGGCTGATTTTTTTGTATTTTTAGTAGAGATGAGGTTTCACCATGTTAGCCAGGATAGTCTCGATCTCCTGACCTCGTGATCTGCCCGCCTCAGCCTCCCTAAGTGCTGGGATTACAGGCATGAGCCACTGTGCCCGCCTTTAAATTGCATTTTTAATTAGATTCAAACCTACCTTTGATTTCAAATGCCCAGAAGCGGGAGCTGGATAGAGCCTAGTTGGGCCTCTTTCTCCTTCACTTCCTAAACTATGGGAGATTTATTCTCCTCTTCAACCTTCTGCCCTATACCGTTTCCAAATTTGATAAGTGTCTTGATGAAGAGACTGGCCATGTATTTGAAGCAGATTCTCTTCCTCAAGGAGCTCTTCGTCTCTGAAATAATTCTATACTATCAGAGATTTCTGTCTGACTTTTCAAAGCTCCCTAACTTCCCATGCAGCCCCCAAGTACAACAATTAAAATATACCATGGGAATGAAAGCACCATATGCTTACAGACTTTGAGATTTCCAAATTGTTGCATCATCCCCACACATTCTCCAGAAGCTTCAGTGGTTTTTCTTCCCAGCATGTTATCTCTCAATTTAAAGGCCAGGCTTGACCTAAGTACACTCACAGAAATGGATAAAGCTTCCAGGTAAGAAGCAGTTGTAATAGCCTCTTCACCTCAGAATGCCTCACTTCCCTGGCTCACTTTCCCATCTCTGACTGGGAAAGCAAAGAGAACTAAGTAAAGTAAACCAAAGATGTTTTTAAAAATAAGATTTTTTTCAAATTATATACTGAATTTTTACTTTTTACAGCAGGAGAAACAAAGCAGTGACCTGTTGCTTCCTAGTCTGTCCCCTTATGACTAAGAATTTCCTGTGTTTTGGTTTTTTTTTTTTTTTTAATGTTTTGAATTCTTTAATTTGTTCTTAGTATTTTTTTTTACATGTGTAGTATCGTCTACACAGAGCAAAGCGAACAAAAATGTAAGATCATTGCCTTTTGGCATGAATACTTGTTTCATAGCAGTGACATAGATTAACATTTAAACTGATTCATTCGTCAGCTATTTATTGAGTATCAAATAGCCAGGAACTGTTCTGCATATGACTAGTAATGTAATAAAAAACAGATAAAGACAAAAATACCTCCCCTTGTTATGTTTCCTTTCTACTTTGAGGAGACAGACAATAAATCACATACAAAGTAGGGTCATCCACTGAGAGTAAGGAAGGTAGAGGAGATAATAGATACTTGACAAGAAAAAGAGAAAATATGAAATGATCAGTATAGAGATGAAAAGAGTAAATGAGCCAGGGAAATAGTTTAGGATAGCCAGATATTTCCATGTTATTTAAGTTTAATAATCATGAGTTTTAAATGACTGTGTATTTTTTTCAGTCATTTTTAGCTACTTGGGTAAAATCATAGAGTAGGAGGAGAGTAGAAATTAGCCAAGATTGAGGGCCTTCTAGAATAAGTACAATGGAGGAGAGAAGGGTAAAGAAATGGAAGGTATTTGCAAAACAGTGATGGACCAAAGAATCTAACCAGGGTAAGTAAGGAAGTAAAGAGGAAAAAAATGGAAAGTGTTGGGAACACACTGATTGGCATTTGTGGTGGGAATGAAGAATTGTTGAAGTGGTCCCTGGAGTAGTAAGCTGTACAGATAAGAGAGATGATTTTGGAGGCCATGACGTTATTGATAATGACACAGCGTATAGTAGAATTTCTTAATTGGTGAACCACAAGCATTTGGGGTGAGGTAGTTTTTTCACATGAGAGAGTGTTTCACACTCTGAGATATTGAACATTCTGAGTTTCCAGATGTTAAATACTTGTCGCAGTCTCCTCATGTACTGTGTCAACAACTGACTCCCCTTCTGTCCCCTTCACATGAGGTGATCGTACACCTGCAGTAGAGAACCACTAGTTTAGGATGTGGCCAGTTAATCTGATGGTTATACTGGAGAGAAGTCTATCAGCTAGATTGTTTTGGGTTGCAGATGTGAGAATTCTTAAATAATAAGGATTTATTTTCTCACTTAAGAAGCCAGAAGTAAATGGTTTCAGTGCCAATTTTGGGGTAGCTGCCCTATTAATTTCTTGGCTTTCCTTGATTCCACAATATTGTAGAACTTTCAGATGTAAACTTTGGAAGGTAAGACATCCCTTCATACACCAGATTCACTTCATATACCATCTGACAGACATACCAGGCATTTGACTTATCACATGGTGACGTTCCCTGCTAGGACAAAAAGGAGCTAAATAGATTCATTGGCAGAGTACACCAAGAGTTCTATCTTCGTATCTGCACATATCCAGAGACTCAGAAAGTGGAAGGATTCATTTAGTTTCATACATCTTTCATTTAATGGAAGATTAAAACCTCTCCCTGAAGCCCCCTAGTGGACTTCTTCTCAAGATACCATTTAAGTTCTAACTAGGTCACATACCTAATTCTTGACCAACACTTGCAATGTGGAATGGAATTATTATGATTAATTTAAGTCAGCCAGTTTTGACTGGGCCCACCTTGCCTATGTGCACTGTAGCCTGATAATTGAATTTGGTTCACAAGGAAGAAGAGATGAGTAGATGCTGGGTAAAAACCAGCAGTATCTGCCGTAGAGGATTTATGTGCCTCAGATGTCAGTGTTAGATGGATTATCTATTTTGATGTTAAAGTCACTAAGAATAATAAGAAGGGTAGTAATGGAAAGAAGAGCAGAGAACAACATGTAAAATCCTTGTTTAAAAAAGAGTAAGATAGGGAGGACAAGTGGATAACTACATAAGCAGGAAATGACCATTTCAGTAGACCTAGGAATTTTGAGGAGAGAGGTGGCAATAATGAGCAAGGATGCCTGCCCCACCTTCATACCTGTGGCAGGGGGGTACAGGAGGAAAAGTAACTCCTATTAATGTCCATTTGGTATTTTTTGGTTTTTTGTTTGTTTTTTTGAGACAGAGTTTTTCTCTATCACCCAGGCTGGGTGTGGTGGCATGATCTCAGCTCACTGCAACCTCTGCCTCCCGGGTTCAAGCATTTCTTCTGCCTCAGCCTTCCAAGTAGCTGGTATTACAGGCATGCACCACCATGCCTGGCTAATTTTTATATTTTTAGTAGAGATGGTGTTTCACCATGTAGGCCAGGCTGATCTGCAACTCCTGACCTCAGGTGGTGCACCTGCCTTGGCCTCCCAAAGCACTGGGATTACAGGCATGAGCCACCGCACCTGCACCTCTCCCACATTGGCTATTTTTATGTCCCCCCATTTTCTGCCCCCAATTTAGATGTCTTAAAAAAATAAAAACATTGGATGTTCTTTTCAAAATAATAAATACAGAAAGGACCAGTTTTTAGCATGTTTTGAACCCAAAGAGATAGAAATGTATAAGAAATACTTATATGATGCAGAAAATCAAGATCAGATGCACAATGTAGTATATCTTACACCTTTAATTCAAATTAACAAATATTTATTGACCGCCAAACATATAGGGATTATGGTTTACACACACACGTACATATGCACACACAAAGTAATCAGTAATGATTTGCACTAACTCATAAAGAATTATGGTAAAGGAGAGACTTATTATGTAAGAATCCCTCCATAAATAGCAGAACACCTATTTTAGAACAAAGGGCAATTTCATTTCTGGTGTAAAATGGTAAAAAATATTTTCTTTGTTCCATATCTTTTGATGATATCTGGGAATAAGCCTCAATAGACTTACTGTTCTTTAAAACCTTGTATTTTCTAATTAGAACTGCAAGATAAATTAATATTTTCTATTTAAACTAAATATTTTAGCTACATTGTTGAGCCGTAGTTACCTATAGATGGGCCTCAACTTTCAGACATAAAATTTGGAAGGCCAACACTTCTGCATATGTATATTAACATGCCTAACCCTCCATTTGTAAACCCAATTCAGGTCTTCATATAGCATCTGACTGACATACCAGGCTTTTGAGTTATCACATGGTGATGTTCCTACTAGGAGAAAAAGGAGCTACGTAGTTGATTCACTGGCAGAGTACACCAACAGTATTTAAAACCAAAAATTATTAGAAGGTGGATTCTTTCATATATATATGCAGCGGATTTTTTTTTTTTTTTTTTTTTTTTTTGATAGAGTCTCACTTTGTCTCCCAGGCTGGAGTATAGTGCCATGATCATGACTCACTACCACCTCAACCTTCCAGGCTCAAGCAGTTCTCCCATCTGAGCCTCCTGAGTAGTGAGACTTCAGGCATGTGCCACCATGCCCTGCCAATTTTTGTATCTTTTGTAGAGAAAGGGTCTCACTCTGTTGCCCAGGCTGGTCTTATACTCCTGGACTCAAGTGATCTTCCCACTTTGGCCTCCCGGAGTGCTGGGATTACAGGCATGAACTACCATGCCTGGCCTGATTTTTTATGACCTAATTTTTACGTATTCACATGCTTTTTATCAGTGAGTAGATGTTTTGTTCTATAAATTGTGTAAGAATTTCTCTGCAAACAATATAATGTTATTAGTGTTAAGAATTTGGTGTATGGTGATATTTTTATTTATTCTTTTTTTTAAAGAGTCAACACAGACTGTCCAAGCTCTGCAGTATTCAACTGTTGATGGTCCACTAACAGCAAGCAAAGATTTAGAAATAAAAAACTTAAAAGAAGAAATTGAAAAACTAAGGAAACAAGTAACAGGTAAATATCTGTGATTCACTGCTAATTCAGTTTAGGAAATGTTTAAACAATGGTTTATTCACACAAAAAACATCTATTGAGAACCTGTCTGTGTTATGTGATGTGAGTTCCGTGGTAGTCAGGGAAGGGCAGATAAGAATGGGTTCTGCTCTCAAGGAGTTCACATTTTGGTCTGGGAAACAGATAAACAGTTATTGCAATACGTACAAAAAGGCTATCAGGAAAAATAAATGGAGATACGTGGAGAGTACATAAGAGGATCACCTAACCCAGACTTATGTGAATAAGGATGGCTTTTTTGGAAGGCCTGTTCATTTTGGAATTTGTCTGGCAAAGCATATTTGTGAGGAGAGGAAAAGGTGAGTAAGGTGTGAGGAAGGACACTAGAGACAAGCAGAGTGCATGTATACAGGCATCAGGAAAATTTATTTTATTTGTTATGCAATTACTTTTTCCTTGTATTACTAAGATTAAAATTAAATTTGACAAGTGTTTGTATACCTATTATTCATTTATTGCATTTATTCAATAAATATATATTTAGCACCTACTATGTAGCAGGTGTTGTTTTAGGCTCTTGGGATTCAACTTAAGCAAAACAACTTTAAACAAAAAATCTTTGCTTTGGCCTGGGTAAAGGACAGAAAACAGAAACCAGTAAATATATAACTTTGTAAATGATACAGTATGTTAGAAGGTAATAAGTGCTTTAAAAATAAAAATAGAATAAGGAGAATTAGATGTGCAAAATGAGGAGTTTTATCATGTTAAGTATAGTGCTCCAGGGGTAGGCCTAACTGAGAAGGTGACTTGTTAGCAAAAATTTAAAGAAGGCAAGGGGGTTAGCCATACAGTTATCTGCAAAATATATGTTCTAAGCAGAAGGACTAGCTGGTGCAAAGACTCTAAAATCAAATGTGCCCCAGGTGTTCAAGTAAAACAGAGTACTGCATGGCTGGAGCAGAATGAGCAAGCAGGGAGAATGGAAGGAAATGAGAACTAAAGGGGTGAAATGGGCTTGTTGCCTGATCGGTAGAGCCTTACTGATTGTCGTAAGGTCTTTGGTTTTTACTCAGAATGAAATGGCAGTTTTTTGCAGGGTTTAGAGGCATTACATGATCTGAATAAGTAGAGGGATAGGAAGAGAGAGCAGAAGGTACTGTTTTAACGAGAATGGTCAGGCCTCTCCAGGAAGGCAGTTTTAGGCAAAAATAAGTAAAAGAGAAGAAATAATCTAATGTAGCATCTTTTATAAAAGTGACTATTTAAAATGCCATATTAGCACTTTGTTTATTTTAAATATATGGAGATCTTAATTTTGAGCATAATTTGTGAATGCTATTTTGTGTTTTTAAGAGGCTGTCCTCCTAAGAAATATCTATATATCTAATCTCTGTTACTTTTATCTTTCTAAAAGTAAGTTATTATAGATTGGGAACGTGATAAGTGAATCATGGACTTTGCTTTGGTACCAACAGTAACATTAAGAGTGTCATTGAATGTCTACATTAGAGTTGTATGACACTAAAACAGCAGTAGAACAGAAGACCAGCTAGAATGGTCAGTGATTTGTCTTCAGAGAGGCAATAGGGATTTGGAAAACTTATTCATAAGCCTGTCTCTTCTCTTTTTAATAGTAGAATGTGGCTTTGAATGGCAGTAGCTTTTGAAAGCTTGCTAATTAATTTTAAAACTGCCTTGAAATAGATGATATTGATGTAAAATATTCAAATCAATAATATAGTTGTTATGTCATTCACCAAAATAATTGTGAGCTTCTTTGTTAGCTCTGTGTAAGAGCTAAATTTTTACATCTTAAAACATTTTGCTGTCATTCACAGTAATGTTCTGGCACTATCCAAAGGAAACCTGTGTTGATGTCTAACCCATTATATATAGAATCATGATAAGTAATTTCATTTTCTGAGTAATTCCAAATAGTATTGTATTTTTAATTTTATTGTTCATGTGTTTATTGCTAATATATAGAAATATAATTGATTTTTACATGTTTATTTTGTATTCTACAGTGTTGCTACACTCCCTTATTAGTTCTAAGAGGGCTTTAAAAAATAGTTTATTTGGGATTTTTAATTCTGACGATCATGTCATCTGCAGGTGGGAACAGTTTTATTCCTCCCTTTCTGATCTATATGCTTTTTGTTTCCTTTTCTTGCCTTATTGCAGGAACTTGCAGCACTATGTTATGCTAAAGAAGAATGATGAGAAGAACATTCTAGCTTCTCAATCTTGGGGAAAAGCATTAGTTTCTTTCTGTTTTTGTATTTCTAAGGGCTTTTAAAATCATTAATGGGTGCTGAATTTTGTCAGATGCTTTTTCTGCATAAATTGATATGAACATATGATTTTCAAAAAATAACCTGTTAATATGGCGAATTACATTGGTTGATTTTAAAGTGTTGAACCAGCCATACATCCCTCTTGTAAACAGTGGTCATGGTGTACAATTATTTTTATATGTTGCTGAATTCCATTCCTAATATATTTTTAAGGATTTTTGCATCGATATACATGAAGGATATTAGTCTTTAGTGTTCTTTTTTTTTTTTTTTCTTCTTTTTCCTTTCTTTCTTTCTTGTACTGGCTGTTTCTCTGTCAACATAGCTGGTGGCTACTGTCACCAGCAGCCGCCAGAGGCCTGAACAAAAGAGCACTAGCAGGGGATCCACCTGCATGCATCCTTTCTGAGGCAGCCTTGCAGTCAGGAGTCAGATTGCTGGTACAGCGTCAATGACAACCTCAATGTGAACATTTAAGAGTTTTTAGTACTTACAGACATTGTGGCACATGGCATACCTGGAGGCCACACACCTGGAGGTCAGGGAGTGCAGGGAGACAGAGAGCCTTGAGCAGGAGAGTATGGCAACTAGCAGTATATATTAGGGAATAGGATGTAGATCACTTTAAGTTTGGAAGCCAGTGCTTGAATGGTCCCTTTAGAGGAGGTGGCTGGAAGGCAGGATCCCAGTCTGCTAGGTGGGAGAGATGTCTCCAGCTTGAGCCCCTTGGGTGTGGTGTAGAATTGAAAACTGCATCAAGAGTGACTAAGCCCTGCCTCTGAAACAAGAAAGCTAAACCTGCATTCAAAATGAATGCTGAGGCAGCATAAAATTATTATAAAATTATACATTTATTATAAATGATTTATTTTAAAGTAAAATTAAATATGCTGTAAATTTATAAATACACTTGATCCTTGAGCAACAGGGATTTGAACTGTGTGGATCTACTTATATGCAGATTTTTTTCCCAACCACATAGAGATTGAAAATACAATATGCTTGGGATCCGAAAGTCAACCCAGGTTGGAGGTGGAAGTCCAGGTTTCCTGTGTGGTTTCCACTGACAGTGTGTGTGAGGGGAGGCTTGTTGTCAGTCAGCCAGTGAGGGTTAATGTGCTGTCTTTTTGTGACACCACTCTTTTTTTTTTTTTTAAATTTGGAGATAGAGTCTCACTCTGTTGCCCAGGCTAGAGTACAGTGACATGATGTCAGCCCACTGCAACCACCATCCCCCAGGTTCAAGCAATTCTTGTGCCTCATCCTTCTGAGTAGCTGGGACCACACCCGGCTAATGTTTTGTGTTTTTAGTAGAAATGGGGTCTCGCTGTGTTGCCTGGGCTGGTCTCGAACTCCTGTCTTCTAGTGATTCACCCTCCTCAGCTTCCCAAAGTGCTGGGATTATAGGCATGAGTAACCACACCCATGTTTTTCTGACACCACTTTTGCAGATATATTTGAGCATCTCATTATAGCCTCATGAGGTTGGAAATCTAGCCCCCATGCACTTATCCATTGTTGACATTGGTGACATGGGACCAGTTTTTTTCTGTGATGTTTATCTCAAGTAGAATTGTTAGTTTCTATGAGTTTTCTGTCTTCCTGGTCTACCCCTTTCCTAATCCTTTGGCTAGAAAGAGCAGGCTTTTGTTGGGGCTTTTTCTCTTTATAGCTGTTGTCATTTGTGGGTTATCATCTTTAGCTCTAATTCTGGGGTATATGAACCAAGAAGAAACCCCAGAAAACTCAACCATTATGTTGTTTATCAGATCCCAATGTCCTGAGGAAGTTTTTTTCTTCACATTTCAGAGTCGTCTTATGTTTGTTTTATGTATAATGTCTAGGGTTTTAAGTTATACTTAATGGGAAGAATGGGAAATATATCTATTCCATCTTCCCAGAACTTGAAGTCTCCAGAGTAAGCTTTAAAAATGTAAGTCTGTTCATGTCACAGCTTCAACATAAATATCTTCAGTGGACCCCCATTGCCTGCAGGATAAAGTAGAAATTTCTCAATTCTAACACAAGGCCCTTCATTATTATGCATGTATTTGCCTCTCGAGCTTTATCTCTTGTTACTACTCCCTTGTCCAGTGATTCCAGCCATACTGAATCACCCCGTGATGCTCCACTTCCTTCACATACTGTCTTTTTCCTTCCCTTTCTTTTTTCCTTCCCTTTTTAACAAAAAATACAAATTGAAGGCTCCCTTTAGGACCTGCCTGATGAGTAGCCCCAACTTTAATTTGGCTCTGAAGAAAAAAGTATCCAAAATACCTTTAATCTGTCATTCCTCCAGATACTTCTTGAGCAAAGTCTTTGTGTATACAAATACCCACCATTAATGACTGGTTATCTTGTGTTTCCCAACAGCAGTGTTCTCCAATATTTTTAAGTTCCTGGAAAAAAATGTGACAAATTTATAATTATTGACAACTTCTTTTTAATATTTGCTTCTTTACCATACTCTGAGCTCCTAAAGGTTAGGAAGTAGGTTATAGTAGGTTTTCCTACTACATTCCTAATGCCAAGCTTATTGCCAGTATTGTATAACAGACAGTAAATATATATTTGTTGAGTATCAGCAGACAAAAATAAAATTTTTTAAATAAAAAATTCATACCTCATTTAATATTTTTGTATGAGAAAATAGGATTTTTTTGTTTCCTAAATGAAAAATTTATTATAATCTATAATGTACTTTTGAAACTGTCATTCTTATGTTGCCTTGAGGTTGGGGATATGTGTCTCTGTGTACTGTTTCTGTTTGTCCAACCCTAAACTAACACACACACAGACATACACACACACACACACACACACACACACGCACACATTCTGTCTCTTTCTCCTTCCCTCTCTCCCCTGTGAATAGGAGTATTGATAATAAGGGAGCCTATTTTTACTGATTATAATTAGAAGTAAAGTTTCTTCGCATCTCAGAAGAGTTACATAATGGGAAAAATGAAAATATTCATCTTGTGGATCAGGGAGATGTTTTGGTTGTTCTGCCAACCTCCTGCTGGCCCCAGTCTTAACCCCTTTCCAGTTTATAGTGTTCCACTTTGAATACTGCTTTAGTCATGCCCATTTTTGGACCTCAATTCCTATAGCATATATAGCCTGCCACACAATTTGCATTTGATTTTCTACATTATTATTTTTTAAAAGAGTGTTGCTGTTGTCTAACTTATCTCCTTTAAGACAGAGACCATATTTTATATTTCTCTTCCATGCCATATAGCACCAAGAAAATAACCCCATATGTATGATACCTGCATTAGGTCCTCATTACTAACAAGTTGAATTTTACAGTCCTAAATAGCATTCGTGAGCTAAGAACCATTTAGTTGATATCAGCTAACCCAGTTTCCTAGTACAGCTTTTTCTTTTGAGACAGAGTCTCATTTTATTGCCCAGGCCGGAATGCAATGATGCGATCTTGGCTCACTGCAGCCTCCGCCTCCTGGGTTCAAGTGATTCTCCTGCCTCAGCCCTTCTCAAGTAACTGAGTTTATAGGTGTGTGCCACACCTGGCTAATTTTTGTATATTTACTAGAGCTGGAGTTTCACCATGTTAGCCCGGCTGGTCTTGAACCCCTGACCTAAGGTGATCTGCCCGCCTCAGCCTCCCAAAGTGCTAGGATTACAGGCATGAGCCATGGTTCCCAGCCTAGTACAGCTTTTTCTATTTGTTCACTATAATTAGTTTTTAACAACTTTATCTAAATGTCATGGCTAATTGTGTTGGATATTTTTAATAGTCTCTGGATTTCTTTCAGAATTTTAGCCATATTTGCTATTTGTTGTAGTGAAAGTAAAGGCTCTGCTGCTTTACCCATTTTATAGTACTTGACCAAAGTTCAAAGCATTCTGGATTTTTCTTGATATGGGGTGTTCATCTTTTGGGAATGTAACATTCTGTGTTTTCCAAATTACGAGTGCTGTGTTTCCCTCCATAATGGAGAATTTTATGAAATATTGGAGGAGGGGTTATCTTTTCCAACACTTCTTAATCTAGTACATTCTTTTGTACTTCTCATAATTCACATACTGTTGTTTAAATGAATGTTTTGAGCTTTTTTCACTTTTGAAAAGTGTCTGAAATATAAAACAGGGAAATTTGACATATATTTCTCCAACAACTCCATTGCAAAGCAGCCAAAATAAAATGGCTGTGGTGAAAACTAAAATTAACACTGTATTGAAGTAAATCAGTAAAAATATCCTTAAAGCTTTTAGATGCTATCCCATGTGATATCATCTGTTACAAACTTTATATGATAGGGAAATTTTATGAAATACTGAATTTTTTTGTTTCTCAGAGCTGTTGAAATAAGTCAGTAACAATAATTTCTGAAAAAATTGTACATGTCAGAGAACAACACTTCAAAAGTAGAAGAAAGAAAGTGTGCTCAGAATGGATTACTAAATGTACCATATCGCTACTCTAAATTGATTTTCCTTAACCATAAAATGTAATTAAAATGAACCAGGAAGTGACAGAAGTCAGCTGCTTTACAGGCTACATTTTTACTCTTAATTATGAGAAATAACAAAAGTAAATTGATATTTACTTTAGAAATTGTTGAAATCCAGGCCGGGCACGGTGGCTCATGCCAGTAATCCCAGTACTTTGGGAGGCTGAGGTGGGCGGATCACCTGAGATCAGGAGTTGGAGACCAGCCTGGCCAACATGATGAAACCCCATCTCTACTAAAAATACAAGAATTAGCCGAGCATGGTGGCAAGTGTCTGTAATCCTAGCTGCTCAGGAGGCTGAGGCAGGAGAATTGCTTGAACCTGGAAGGCGGAGGTTGCAGTGAGCCAATATCACACCATTGCACTCCAGTCTGGGTGACAGAGCAAGACTCTGTCTCAAAAAAAAAAAAGAAAAACAAGAAATTCTTGAAATCCTAAAAATGTTAAAAACTTGAACTAGAAAATATTTAAATGTGTTTGAAAGAAATTAATTTAAATAGAAATATTCCCCTATGAAATGCCAAAATGTGATAAAGTGATAAAATACAGTTTTCTGAATATAAGACTAAACACCATGATTAAGATTAAACACCCTATGATTTTTAGTTTTCTTCACATAAGCATTCATTAATTGATACTGTTCAGATACTATGAATACCAGTTAATACAACTTTACATCTTCAAAAGTTAACTGTGCTATTAATAACTATACTTTCAAAGTAAGTTTGAAATCTGTAAGTTTATTGCACTGATACCAGTTATTTATGGAATGTAGTACTATACAATGCATGATACACTAATACATTTAAGTAATTTTTAGACTGCAGGTTTCATCTACACAAGTGAATTGCTTTTCCCAATAGGACTAACATATTAACACTACTTCATTTATTGAAAACATCAGTCTCAACAGTATACAACACTTTGTGCACTGGTTCCCACACATTAACATACAAATGAATGACTTGAGGATACTGTATAGATTCTGCTTCATTAGGTCTTGATTGGGGCTTGATATTCTCCATATCTAAGTTCCTAAGGGATGCTCATGTCACTTGTCTGGGGATGTCACTTAGAGCAGGGATCCCCAATTCTCGGGCCACAGACTAGTACCGGCAGACTGGGCTGCACAACAGGAGGTGAATGGCAGGTGAGTGAGCATTAGCGCCTGAGCTGCACCTCCTGTCAGATCAGCGGTGGCATTAGATTCTCATGGGACCGTGAACCCTATTGTGAACTGCTCATGCGAGGGATCTAGGTTGCGTGCCTCTTACAAAAATCTAACTAATGCTTGATGATCTGAGGTAGAACAGTTTCATCCCAAAACCATCTCCCAGCTCCCAGACTCCTGGTCTTCCACAAAACTGGTCACTAGTGCCAAAAAGGTTGAGTATTGCTGACTCAGAGTAATAATGTGTAAAGAACAGAAAATATCCAGAGCAGAACTGATAATGAATATTGTTTAGATTTCTCTGTATCACTGACTTCAGTTCTTTCCTAGTTTACTTTTAATACCAGGAACATTTCCTATCAATTTATTACATTTTAAGGCATAGATTAAAATAAATAATGTTGGTGTTTCTTAATATCCCCTCTTATCTGAGAATGTTAAACATTATTTAATAACATTACCATGTAAAGTGGAGAAGTCAGTGCAAGATTTCCTGGGCTCTAGTCTTATCTCTGATACACATTTTGCAATGTAACTAGGCAAATTATTCAACTCCCTGAGTTTCTTCATCGAAAAATAGAAGAATTGATTTAGATCAGGAGTTTTTCAGGTATGTGCTTTTTGGAAATCAGAGTTTATTCTTCAGATAAACAGTGGTGAAACTAGACTGGGTGATTTGGAACCACCCTGTTAGAATCAAAATCATCTTACACAGTAATTTGACTAACATGAGCCTTAGGATGCTTACCAACACTGCAGTAAAACTTGACTTTTTGTTGTTGTTGGTTGGGTTTCTTGTTGCTTGTTAGTTTTAAATTTTTAATTGGTCTGAAGGTGCTGTTTTTGCAAGTATTTTTTTTTCATAATGAATCTATAAGGCATTTCTGCACATAAATTTTGCACATTTTCACACTGGCATACGCAATTCACCATCTTTACAGTGAACTGATAAGCATTTAATTTGTCAAGAGTCATACTGGTATACACTGTCTGTCAGTAGACCTAACACCAAATTCAAAATACTGATTAAAAAAAAAAATTTAGTTGTTTTACCTTAGGTTCAATCATTTGCTTTTATACAAATAGTAAAAGAAACATTGTCTTTTGTTTTTAGAATTGAGTCATTTGGAACAGCAACTTGAAGAAGCTAATGCTGTGAGGCAAGAACTAGATGAAGCTTTTAGACAAATCAAGGCTTATGAAAAACAAATCAAAACGTTACAACAAGAAAGGGAAGATCTAAATAAGGTAAAATATGTGAATAGATCATCAAAGCTTTTTCTCTGTTTTGAATCTTGTATAATAAGAATACTGAAAGCATTCATAATGAATTACAATAATACATAGTATATTTTATCTTTTTAAAAGTTGGTTTAAAAATATAAGGATTATTTTGATGTATGTCATTTGATGAGTAGCTAGTAATAAACTTTTAAATTGTTGAAGCTTGAAAGTTCAGAATCTTTTGTTCTTTTAGAAAGTTAATAGTCAAAGGACTAGATTAAAAGTGAATGTTATTGAAAAAGAAACACGAAGAAATAAGAAAATAGTAGAATCTGTTTAGCATCTATAGAAAAAATTTAAAATACAGGCATATTTTCATTATAACTTGCTGATAAGAACATTCTTAAAATATAATTTAAAATTTCTTTGGTTATTTGTTTTAAATGTCAGTTTTTATCTTTCAAAGCAGCATGGGTGAAAAAGCTAAAGTGATTTTCATAAGAACTTTGTATAACATTTAAACATTATTTTAAACACCGAGAAAATTTATTGATAGTTAAGACTCCGTAACATAGCCCAATAGGGTAAATAATATTCAAGCACTAGAGAAAATACTTTTCTTGAACCACATGCTGCTAAGCACTGTGACTTTCATTAATAGAAAAATGTTGGGACTAATGCTAGCCATTGCAAACAAGAAATCTGTAGTTTATGGCATAGCATAAGTTGTATTCAATAATGTAATATATTAATATAATGCACTGATAATATAGAATGAATGAAATCCTCTGGGGGAAGATTTGAAAGTCTTTGTGCCAGGAAAGAAATGGAGGGAATTAAAAATAAAACAAATAACCTTTAGCTGATGAAACTAATCAAAAGAACTAAAAGAGAATGCTATTAAAGAATAGATTGAAATAGACCAATACATTTTTACTTTCTTCTTAATGCAGTTTCAACCAGTTTTTTGTATAGGCCCATTTAAATTCAATGCCAATTTAATAATATTTGTCATTTAAAACAGTTAGTGTTCTATTAACTTTAATAATATTATAGTAATATTAATGGTTTACCATTTTATATTTATTGGTAGGATTACTCAGCCAAATGTAGTTAACATAATGGATGTTATGCTTCCTGCTTTCTCCTCTTCTGAGAGAGTTCCTTGGAAATCTAGAGAGAAGGATCTTGGGTTCTTTAACCCTTTGAAAAGAGGATGAAAATCTGACAGCTAGATTTATAGTAACAGGTAGTCACCAATTTTTAATGTTTTAGCATGAAAAATCCTTTTCATGTATTTTGAGAAGACAATAGTGCTGATGAAAAGAAACAGATGATACCAATATAGGATTTTGAGTGATTTGCTTAATATCCTATAGGTAGTAGAAAATGATTTTTCTCCACATTCCTTGCCAACACTTGTTATCCTTTGTCTTTTAAAAAAAAAATAGCCATTCCAATAGCTGTGAAGTGACAGCTCATTATGATTTGGTTTTTACTTCTCTTATGACTAGTGATGTTGAATACTTTTTCATATACCTATTGGCCATTTGTATGTCTTCTTAGAGAAATGTTCACTGAGATCCTTTGCCCATTTTTTGATTGGGTTAGCAAATATTCTGATTTTTTATCATGCCAAACTGTTTTCTAGTATACCAACTTCCATTTCCACCAGTAGTGTATAGAAGTTTGTGTTCATATTACCAGATTTATTACTTTTGGCCAATCTAGTCTAAATTGAGATTTTAGGTTTTAGAAAATGTTTGGTTGTGGTCTTAATGTGCATTTCTCTAATTACTAATGAGGTCAAGTATCTTCACATGGGTCTGTTGTCATTTACATTTCTTTTGTGAAATATTTCTTAATATCTTTGGTTTATTTTTCTGTTGGGTTGTTTTTTTCTTACTGATTATAAGAATTCTTGGAAATATTTGGACATTCTTTTGTGAGTTATATGTGTTACAAATATCTCTCAGTGGCTTATCTTTTTGCTTTTAGGAATCTTTTTATTAAAAAACGTTCTTAGGATTATTGTGGCCAGATTTATCAATATTTTTATGGTTAGTGTATTTGCTGTCTTATATAAAAAAATCTGAGATTTTAAAAATTTCTCCTAAATTTTTATCTTAAAGTTTTAAAATTTTAGAGTCTGTATCTCTAACTATGTTTTAAAAACTGTGAAGATGGAATTTTGATTAAAATTACATTTGATCTGCTGAGCATCGTGACTCATGCTTGTAATCCTGGCACTTTTGAGAGGCCGAGGCAGGAGGATCACTTGAGTCCAGGAGTTTGAGGCCAGCCTAGGCAACAACAGAATGAGACCCAGTCTCTACAAAAAATAAAAAAAATTAGCCTGGTGGTGCACGCCAGTCATCCCAGCTACTCAGGATGCTGAGGCAGGAAGTTCACTTGAGCCTGGTAGATCGAGGCTGCAATGAGCCATGATCATGTCACTGCACTCCAGCCTGAGCAACAGAGCAAGACCCTATCTCAAGGGGAAAAAAAATGCATTGAATTTATAGATCAATTTAGAGAGAATTAACATCATTACAATATTGTCTTTAAGTTCTTACTATATATATATTTATTACTGTTTTTCTGAATATACACACAGATTATTTCCAGAATAGAATGGACTGTTATTACTTACATACAGCAAAGAATAACTACATGGCTCCCTTCTGTGCTAAGTCTTACCTCAAGAGAAATACCCTGAGAGCTGGCAGGATAAAACCCTACACAGAAGGAATCTGTATTGTAAATGAGGAGCCTTGAAAACATTTATCCAGGTGTTTACATAGAGAAAAGAAGCAACTGCTTCCTGCTTTCTCCTCTTCTGAGAGAGTTCCTTGGAAATCTAAAGAGAAGGATCTTGGGTTCTTTCTCTAACCCTTTGGAACATAGATAAATATTTCCACTGTAAATATAAGCCCAGAGTCTTCTGCTCTATCAAAGGAAGCCCCCTTGGTCTAGGCTCCTACTCTCTGCCACCCCACCTTGAAATGTAAACACATAACCTCCAGAAGGTAAATCTTAGTTTTCTCCCTACTAAATCAGTTATAAGTTACTTTTTAAGACTTTCATTTAGCCCAGGTTTTGGTAAAATTTGTTCAGAAGGGACAAACTGCAAAAACATGAAAGTTTCTCTGCATTCCTAAAGTCTTTTTATTCGTAAACATATCGCTCCATATATTTAAAGTTCTTTTAAAATATTCTTCCATAAAATTTTGTACAGAAAAGACTTTCATTTCTTTCCTTGTTTTACTGTATTAGCTAGAAACTCAGTACAATGTTAACTAGAAATGATAATAGCAGGCATCCCCATCTTGTTCCCCAATTTTAAAGAAATTGCCTCTGATATTTCATCACTAATAATGTTTGCTGTAAGTTTTTAATAAATAATTTTTATCAGGTTAAAGAAGTTACCTTCTGTTCCTATTTTGTTAATAGCTTTTTATTTAGAATGGGTATTGACTTTATTCAATGTGCCCTTCTGTGCTCTATTGATATGTTTATATGTTTCTTATCCTTCAATAAGTTGGTGTGGTGGACTACATTTGTAGACTTTTTCTAATATTAAGTCACTGTTATATTTCTGGGTTAAGCCCAAATTTCTTATAATACTGTGATAGTATAGATAACATTTATGTAGCAAATATCTGTTCTAATAGCACTGTTGTGAAAGCTTTACATATGTTAAATTATTTAATCTCCATCACAGCCCCATGAGTTAGGTGATATCATTATTATTCTCAATTTATGAATGGTGAGACCAAGCACAGAGAAATTAGTTCACTTGCTTAAGGTCATAGAAATAGAAAGTGGTGGAGCTAGATTTTTAGCACAAGGAGTTTAGCGCCAGACTTCATGCATATCTACTTTATATATCACTGGAACTGATTTACTAATTTTTAAAAAGGATTTTCACGTTTCTTTTTATAAGTGAGATTGGTGTGTTATTATTTTTCCTCTTTCTTTTCTTTTTTTTTTTTTTTTTTTTGATATTCAGATTATACTGGTCTCATAGAGTTGAATTGCGTTGGTTCTTTTTCTCACGGACCAGTGAGTTATTTATAAGTATCTTTTAAAATTTTCAGTGTATGGAGTTTTATTTTTTTTGTTGACTTCTAATTTAGTTGCGTGTCATTACAGAACTTGCTCTACATGATATCTGTTCTTTGAAATCTACTGAGACTTGCTTCGTGGCCTAGCCTGTTCCATTTTTAAAACATTCAATATGTGTTCTTGAAAATAGTTTGTGTTCCAATTTAGAGAGCAAGCTTCTGTACATGAAGCTTGTTAATTGAGCTTTTCAGATCGTCTTTATATTCACCGTTTTTTTGCCTACTTGGTTTATCTATTAATGACTAAGAAATTAAAATTTTTCATTATAGTGATGTTTACCAATTTTTCTCTGAAGTTCTAACAGTTTCTTTTTAATGATTTTGAGACTATCTTATAGAACGCACAAAAGTTTAGGATAGTATTTCTTCTTAGTGTATTGAATTTTATCATTATGTAGTGACATTCCTTATCCTTAATAATACTTTTTCTATTGAAGTCAAGATTTCATTTATTAATCCAATATAATAGATGGCCTTTAACTGGTGATTACTAATGTATATGGATATATTTCTACTATCTTATTTTTTGTTTTCTGTTTGTCATGATTTTTGCGTGCTGCTTTTTATTTCCTTTCTTCCCTTCTCAAAAGTTTTTAGCTGTGGTAAAATACATGTAACATAAAATTACCATCTAAACAATTTTCAAGTGCACAGTTAATTAATGTTAAGTATATTTACATTCTTATGCAGCAGTCTCCAGAATTCTTTCTGTTTGCAAAATCATTTCTTGCTTCTTCACTGACATTTGTTGTTGCTGTTGTTGACATTTTACTTTACTCTCTAGTCTTTTGGTGGTTACTCTTGGCTTCTACCATGTGTATTAACCAAGTTTAAGTTGAAGTTAAATATCTTAAAACTATTTCCCAGAAACAATTTAAAGAGGTTTAATTTTACAGATTGAGTATCCCTTATCTGAAATGCTTGGGACCAGCATTCGGATTTTGGAATATTTGCATTATACCAGTTGAGTATTTCTAACCTGAAAATCCAAAATCTGAAATGCTCTAGTGAGCATTTCCTTTGAACATCATGTTGGCACTCAGACAGTTTTGGATTTTGAAACATTTCGGATTTCAAATTTTTTGGATTAGGGATATTCAACCTGTATTACCTCTTTATAACTTTCTTTATGTGTTGTTATTGGCCAGTATTTTAGCTGTATCTTTTGTTTACTGTACAAAGTTAACATTTTTATAGTATAATCTTATATATATACTTGTTTACATTCACATTCATGTTAACCATTTTATTAGCTACTCATTTCTCTTGCATTAGATCTCTAAAATCATTTTTTTCTTCCTGAGATAAAGCTTTACTGGTTCCTTTAGTGCAGATCTGATTATGGTAAGCTCTGCCAGTTTTTGTTTATATGAAGCCTCAGACTTGAAAAGTAATTTTTTGGGTATATAATTTTAATTATCTTCTCATGTCTTTGAAAATATTTTACCCTGTTTCTGTTGCTGTTGTTACTTCTTCAGTGTATGTTCTTAGTCTAATTTTCCTTCTCCCACCTTATTTGAGGATGGGGAATAGGTGATTTGCCTTTTTGTCCCTCTGATTTCTTTACGGTCTTTTATTTCTCTTTGGTATTACCAAAGAGTGTTGTTTTTTGAACACGTATGGTTTGGGTTTTTAAATTTTTTTCTTGATTCATAAATGTAGAGCTTCCTCTAGTGATTGATGCATGTCTTTAATTTTAACATTTATATTTTTTCTTCTTTTTTTTTTTTTTGAGGTGGAGTCTCACTGTATTGCCCAAGCTAAAGTGCAACTGAGTGATCTCACCTCACTGCAGCCTCAGCCTCCTAGGCTGAAGTCATCTTCCCATCACAGTAGCTAGAACTATAGGCACACACCGCCATACCTGACCTTTTTTTTTTTTTTTTTGGCATTGTTATTTTTTGTAGAGATGAGGTCTCACAATGTCACCTAGGCTGCTCTTGAACTCCTTGGCTCAAGCAATCCTCCTGCCTCAGCCTCCCAAAGTGCTGGGATTATAGATGAGATCAACTGGGCCAACCTTAACGTTTTCTGTTTCTAAATGTTCCGTACAGTTCTTCTATAAATCTGCTTGGTCATTTTTAATAGCCTTTTGTCATTTTTTCATTTTTATTATTTCATCTTTTATTCCTTTAAACATTTCATATGTAGCAATTTTGTGTTGATATCTAATGATTTTAATACCAAGATACCTTTGATGTTTATTTTTATTGTTTTTGTTATTTGATTGTGGTGCTTTGTTCTTTGAGTAATTTGGAATCTGTGGTTGTGAGCTCATTCTTGTTTGTTCTTAATATGTGAAAAATTCAGATTTCATTACAGTTCTTTCCCCCAAAGAAAATCTGCATTTCCTTTTGCTGGGAGGCAGGTAGTGGTACTGCCCTCAGTCCACTTTAGCTCTCCTCTAAGTTTCTCACTTCAATTAGGGAGTCTCTGGTTTAGTTTCTGTCTCCTTGCTTCTGGCTTGAGGCGTAGCCTCCATGTCAAGGGCAATGCTTGTTTTTTATGAAAACAACCTCACAAATATTTATCAAATTTTACAAATATTTATTTTGACCATCATATCGTTTATTTCTAAACTTTTTCCTCATTTGTGGAAATTAAGGTACTATCAGGTTAAATTAGCAGCTCCCGTGCATTTACTGTATTAGCATAAGGAATTGAGACCATATCAGGACACCATTCCGTTAAGAAGTAGTTTATTTATGTCAAGACACCATGCTGTTCAGAAGTAGTTTATTTATTTTAATTTGTTCTAAGGTGAATAATTTTGGCTCTTCTTGACTTAATAATAGCTATTCTGATGGCCAAATTTGGTCTCTAGGTTGCAGAATTGGTAACTTATATTCTTTTTACAAAACTGTAGGAACTAGTCCAGGCTAGTGAGCGATTAAAAAACCAATCCAAAGAGCTGAAAGACGCACACTGTCAGAGGAAACTGGCCATGCAGGAATTCATGGAGATCAATGAGCGGCTAACAGAATTGCACACCCAAAAACAGAAACTTGCTCGCCATGTCCGAGATAAGGAAGAAGAGGTGGACCTGGTGATGCAAAAAGTTGAAAGCTTAAGGCAAGAACTGCGCAGAACAGAAAGAGCCAAAAAAGAGGTTAGTAGTCAGGCAAATTTTGTAGTGCCCATGGGATAGTGATTAAAGCTACTTTTTAAGACTAGTGATATCATATATAATTTTTTATTTAATATTTTTTAAAGTTATTTTTATAGTTTGTTAATATTATTTAATATGGATTTAAACATTTGAATTATCTTCCCGTTACAAGGTTAAATTCTCATTGGGATAAATGTTTTGTTTGGAAAAAGATTATAACCATGAAATCTGCTTTTTTCATTCTGTTTTAAAGCTGGAAGTTCATACAGAAGCTCTAGCTGCTGAAGCATCTAAAGACAGGAAACTACGTGAACAAAGTGAGCACTATTCTAAGCAACTGGAAAATGAATTGGAGGGACTGAAGGTATCTTTTGACTTCACATTTATGAAGCTTAATTAATTTTCTTCTCTTTAGGCTTGTTAGGAATGTTAGCTTATACACTGTATTCAGTGTGCAGTGAAAACTAGTCATTCTTCAAACCTAGTATTCATAATTCTCGTTCTCACCAGTAGGAAGCTGATACTGATTTCTTAATTATGCTGAAGAAAATGGAGGACTATGTTTAGTGGGAAACATGAATCTATCAGGAAGGAGTTAGAATGTTTATGAAGGACTGCCTGCCTACCCAAGATGTACTGGTAATCTGCGTGGGAGTCATGGTTAGATATCCAGAACCTCTCTGTATCTCATAAACAACTCAGGAGAAGCTCAGGGGTAGCTTTGCAGACACTTGTGTTTGTTAGGATAAGATGATAATGGTCATAGTCTTATCTCAGCAGAAGGTGCTTTGCAAGGGAAATCCTTGAGCCGTTCTGGAGTCAGACTACCTATTCTTAACTTCTTGCTTCACCAGTCACTAGCTGTGTAACATGTAATATTGGACAGAACATTATGGGGCCGGGCACAGTGGCTCATGTCTGTAATCCCAGCATTTTGGGAGGCCGGGATGGGCGGATCACCTCAGGTCAGGAGTTTGAGAACAGCCTGACCAACGTGACGAAACCCCATCTCTACTAAAAATACAAAATTAGCCATGCGTGGTGGCGCACGCCTGTAATCCCAGCTACTCAGGAGGCCAAGGCAGAAGAATTGCTTGAACCCGGGAGGTGGAGGTTGCAGTGAGCCTAGATTGCACCATTGCACTCCAACCTGGGCAACAAGAGTGAAACTCTGTCTTAAGCAAAACATAACAATGTTTAACCTCATTATACTTTAATTTTCTCATCTATAAAACTATTTCATGTCAAGAGTGCATACGTACATTTGTAAACTGACACATTATAAGTGTTCAGTAACTGTTAGTGTAATAATGGTATCATGTATATTACAATGAGTGAATTAAGATCAAATTGACATGATATTTTTACCATACTAAATAATAGTCTGAATGTGGTATCTGCCTTTTATCTTTTTTGACTCCAAACTTTTTCCATCCTGTTTCCTCTGCTATACCTGTCAGGCCCCATTTCACCTACTTCTTTTAGGACCATGCTTAGTCTACTGTCCAATTATCCATAAATGTAAGAATCATACTCCTTAAAATCTACATACTCCTGTACTGCTTCTTGGAATTCTGTTAATACCTGTAGCTTAGCTCTTATTGTAATTATTTATTTGCAAATCTGTATATTTCCAGCTAAACTGTGACCTAGCTTATTGAAAATACAGGCAGGTATATTGTTAATTTGGCCCTGGCAAAGGACCAGATATTTAATACTTGTTTAATAAACCTGTTAAGTTAATGAATGAATCATGTGGTAGAATTGGTCAGAACTTACTTTTTCTCTGACAATTGAATTTCAGTGGTTGCAAGTCAAATTCCTTTGCTATAAATGGAAATATAAACTCTTGATTTTATTCTTGTTTTTGTTTTGGGAGTTTGTTTTAGTTCATCATGAATTTGTAGTCCTGGTTACCTTTATGAAGTGGAGATGTGTCTTCTATATACACCTGTACCTCTAGAGCAGGATTAGTATATAGAAGTAATTACATCACCATCCCAGATACTTTTCAGTCAGGGCCTACTTTGTTTCCTGCACTATTCTAGGAGCTTTGGGTGGTAAGAATAATAAAGTACAAACTAGAATCTTAGGCATTATTTTTATTTGAGAAAATTGAGGGTCAGAAGAGTTAAATATTTTATAGTCATAAGTGATAGAGTACAATGTAAACCCAGGTTTTCTAACTTTCATTCACATATTTTATCTAATAGTTTGCTTTTTATTTTTTTCTACAATAAACATTACTGCATTGGAAACTGTATCATGTTTACCTACTTGCCAAACACATCTCTGTGTTGTCTATAAATTTGAGATAATATAACCTACTAGTTAATGCATTTAACATGTATAGGCCAGAACCTGGCACATAGTAAAGGGTTAAAACATATTTTGGCTGTTTTAAAGATAGTAGGAATCTTCACTTCATTGAGAATACTTTTGACAGACTTAAAGAGAGAAATAGCCCTACAAAAAGAGTTAAAGACTTCAATATCTCACTTCCAATAATGAATAGAACATACACACACAAGATCAATAAGGATATTGAGGTCGTGAACACCACTATAACCAACTAGACCTAACAGATACAGAGTCAGCCCTTCATATCCATGAGTTCTATATTCGTGGCTTCAACCAACCATGGATCAAAAATATTTGGAGGAAGAAAATTAGATGGGTGCATTTGTACTGAACAGGTACAGATGATTTTTCCTGTCATTATTCCAAAGGTAAAAATTGCTTATATGGCATTTATATCACATTAGGTATTGTAAGTACAGATCGTGACGTTTTAATCAGCCACAGACTGCATATACAACAATGGTCCCTTAAGATTATAACGGAGTTGGAAAAATTCCTGTCACCTAATAATGTCTTGATGATCTTGAACCTGTGTAAACCCTATATTAATGTGTGTGTTTGTGTCTTAATTTTTAACAAAAACATTTCAAAAGTAAAACAAAAATTTTACAAATGAAAAACACTTAATAGAAAATGGATATAAAGAAAGATAGCTGGGTGTGGTGGCTCACGCCTGTAATCCTAGCACTTTGGGAGGCTGAGGTAGGTGGATCACTTGAGGCCAGGAGTTCGAGACCAGCCTGACCAACATGGTGAAACCGCGTCTCTACTAAAAATACAAAAATAAACTGAGCGTGGTGGCGCACGCCTGTAATCCCAGCTACTCTGGTGGCTGAGGCATGAGCATTGCCTGGACCTGGGAGGTGGAGATTGCAGTAAGCTGAGATTGTGCCACTGCACTCCAGCCTGGGTGACAAGAGTGAGACTCTGTCTCAAAAAAAAAAAAGAAAAAGAAAAAGATACATTTTTGTACATCTGTACAATGTGTTTGTGTTTTAAGTGTTACTACAGAAGAGTTCAGAAAGTTTTAAAATAGTAAATAGCTTATAAAGGTACAGTAAGCCAAGTTTATTATTGGATAAATAAAATGTTAAAAATAGTGTAGCCTAAGTATAAAGTGTTTATCAGGTCTCCAGTAGTGTACAGTAATGTCCTAGGCCTTCACGTTCACCCACCAGTCACTAACTCATCCATGCCAACTTCCAGTCCTGTAAGCTCCGTTCATAATACTTTACATGACATACCAGTTTTTATTTTTATACCATACTTTTGTGCCATATTTATATGCAACATATCATTTTTTGTCTTTTATATCATATTTTTACTGTATCTTTTCTATATTTAGAGACACAAGTGTTTACTATTGTGTTACAGTTCCCTGCAGTATTCAGGACAGTACCATACTGTACAGGATTGTAACCTGGGAGCAACAGGCTGTACCCTATAGCCTAGGTGTATAGTAGACTGTGCCATCTAGGTTTGTGGAAGTACAATTTATGTTCACACAAGGACAAAATCACCTAATGAGATGCATTTCTCAGAACATATCCCTGTTATTTAGCAATATGTGACTGTAATCTAGAGGTGATTTAAAGTTTATGGGAGGATGTGTGTAGGTTGTATGCAAACACTGTACCATTTTATATATGAGACTTGAGCACTCATGGATTTTAGGTATTCAAGTAGGGTCCTGGAGCCAATGCCCTATGGATACTGAGGGACAACCATGTATAGAACTTTTCACCCAACAACAGCAAAATGTACATTCTTTTAAAGTACACATGGCAGATTCTCCAGGATAGACCATACGTTAGGCCAAAAAACATCTTAGTAAATGGAAGAAGATTGAAGTCGTGTAAGGTATCATCTCCAACTACAATGAAATGGAGCTGGAAATCAATTACAGGAAAAGAAAAAACCTGGAATGTTCAAAAATATGTGGAAATTAGTGAACACACTCTTAAGCAACCATAGGTCAAAGAATAAATCACCAGGGAAATTAGAAAATACATGAATGAAAATGAAAATACAATACACTCGAACTTACAGGATGCCATAAAGGCAGTGCTGAAGAGAGAAATTTATAGCTATAAATGCCTGTATTAAAAGGAAGGACTAAAAGGGAAGAAAGTAAAAACCAGTAACCTAACTTTATACCTTAAGGTACTAGAAAAAGAAGAGCAAACTGAATCCAAAGATAGCAGAAAAAATGAAATAATAAAGATTAGGGCACAGCTAAATAAAATAAAGACTAGAAAATAATAGAATCAATAAAATGAAAAGTTAGTTGGTTAGAAGTCAACAAAATTGGCAAGCCTTTAATTAGACTGACCCCTTCCCAATAAAAAGAGCTAAAGAGGGAGAGACATTGCAAATCACTAAAATCAGAAGTATAAGGGAAAATTTTATTACTTACCAACAGAAAACAAAAGAATTATAACAGGAACAACTGTATGCCAACAGAGTAGATAACTAGATGAAATGAATAAATTCTTAGAAGGATACAAATAACCCAGTATGACTCATGGCAAAATAGAAAATCTCCGCAGACCTGTAACAAGTAAAGACATTGAATCAGTAATCAAAAACCTTCTGATGGACCCTCAGGCACTCCACAACCCTATTCCAGCGGCTTATTAAAAAAAGACAGTCAACCTTCTGATAAAGAAGAGTCCAGGACCACACCAGTTCACTGGTGAATTGAACCAAACACTTAAAGGAAAATTAACACCAATCCTTCTCAAACTCTTTTTTGAGAAGGCACCTGTAGTCCCAGCTATTCCGGGGGCCAAGGCAGGAGGATCACCTGAGACTTCAGAGGTCGAGACTATAGTGAGCCATGATCGGGCCACTGCACTCCAGCCTGGGTGACAGAGTGAGACCCTGTTTCAAAAAGAAAGGTACTTGAGACTTGAACTTAAAATAAATTCACCCAAGTTGCAGGCTGCAAGATCAACACACAGCAATCAGTTGTGTTTCTATAAGCCAGCAACGAACAATCTGCAAAGAATGTTAAGAAAGCAATTCCACTTAACAATTGCGTCTGAAAGAATAAAATACCTTGAAACAAATTTAACCAACTAAAAATGACAAAACATTGCGGAAAGGAATTAAAGAAAATCTAAATAAATTGAAAGACATCTCTTGTTTATGACTAGGGGAATTTAATATTGTTAAGATGCAGTACCTAAAGTTATGTACAGCTTCAACTCAGTCCCTATCAAAATTCAGAGTCTTTTTTGCAGAAATAAAAAGCTGATCCTCAAATTCATATGGAATTGCAAAGGACCTGGACAGCCAAAACTATCATAAAAAAATGGACAAAATTGGAGGATTCATACTTCAGAACTTATTGCAAAGTTACAGTAATCAAAACAATGTGGTACTGTCATATACATAAAACTCTCTGCACAGTAAAAATTTTACTTTTTAAAGTATTTTCAGCAACCATGTAACCAATTTATCATGTATCCCTTAATTTTTATCTTGTTTCTTTTTAAAATTGTAGAAGATTTGTTGGTTTTTCTCAGTGTTTGTTCTGTCGCTTCAAAGCTTGGCTTGTCCTCCTCTCAGAGTTTTGATAAGTATTTAATTCTGCTTTCTTTTGGATGTTTGTTGGGTCTAAAAATAATTAACTGTTTAATCTGTTTGGAGTTTGTTTTGCTAAATGGTATGACATGAGATTCATTTTTGTTATTTTATTGCTAGCTGGTGATTCCAATTTCATTTATTAATCATTACCTTACCTAGTGACTGAAGATGTCTCATATATTGAATTAAATTATTTTGGGAAGCAGATCTGTCACAGTGATACTTTAGTAAAGAGTTATAGTATGTTTTAATATTTGAAAAGTGTATTTTCCCACTCACCACTTGGTATTTTCTTTGACATTTTTATTTTTACCAGTTTATTCTTATCCACGGATTAGAAACATGTCTCTGTGCCCTTCTTTCCCCACATTTATAAAGAACTTTTAATTAGAATTATGTGGAAGATAACATGAAAAATATTGAATACATGTCCATTTAATCTTCCCTTTTAAATAGTTTGTTTCAATACTTTTAGGTTTTTTTCATATAAATCAGAAATTTCTCACTGTTATTCTCCAGTTAACAATGAAATTTTTGTTGTTTATTGCTTATTTTAATATCTGGAAGTATTGATTTGTGTTTTATATGCTATTGCTTTACTCAACTCTCTCAATTCTAACACATTTCACTAGATTTATTTGTATTTTCTAGGTGAACAATTAAATAGAAATGATAAAGATGTTATTTTTCTTTACAATATTCATATTTTTAACTATTTTACATGTTGGTGAGAGAGACTATTTTACATGTTGGTCTGAAATGAATGTTGCATAAGAGTGATAATGGAAGATATCCTTTTTGTTGATATTTCTGAATTTATTCAGTGTATCTCTAAAGGCTCACCATAAATAGTATTTGGATAGTTCACAATGGATACTTTTAAATTAAAATAATTACTGTATTATTTTTTATGTGATGGTTTTATTGTGGGACTTAGGGTAGTATTTGGAATTATTACCGGATTTTATAAAATGCTAGTAGGGGTACATTCTGAGATTATCATTTGGATTTTAAATTTTAGTCTATTAAAATAATTCATTTTATGACACAGTTATTAATAAGTTTGCTGACATTAAATTATCTTCAGTGCCTGCAGTAAAGCCTATTATTTCTTGGTAGGTTTTTCTTTTTTACAGATGGGTCAATATCATTTTCATAGCGATGCTTAAGAGCAAGAATCTGCCTTGCTCTGGTTCTTCTCAAGTTAAGCAGACTTTTGCATGTTAGGCTACCTAATAAACCATTGGACAGTCTGGATCTGGCACATGAAAAATATTTTTTCGATGAATGGTTAATATTGCACTGGACACACCAGGGCTATTTCTCTGGCCCACATCACTTCCTTTGCTCTTTTTAAATTATATACTTCAGATATGAAGGAGTCAGGGTATTTTTCCTTCTACTTTAAGTCAACTACGCTTACCAGTTTTATTGCCCTTATGACTGACTTCAAAAAAGAATACACTGACCTCTAGATCTTGATTCTTTGTTGTCCCTAAACTTAAGTGCATAGGTTCTTTTAGTTTTAAAAGTTTTATTGCAACTGGGGAGACAGATAGGATATAACAAATTAATGACCTTTGGAAAATTACAAAGCTTAGGAAATCTTACAGTCATAATCTGTAGTCTGTATGTTTCTGTTTACCCTTTAGGCAGTACCTGGAAGAATCTTTGGACTTTACATTTTCTTTTCTTTCTTATTACTGAGAGGATATTTCAGCCTTATTTCTAAAAAGGTAGACTTCAACCCAATTTCTTCTCCTTCTTAATCATATCTGAAAGTGAAGAGACCTACCTTTTTTTTTTTTCTAGTGTAGATATGAAGGAGATGTTAGTTTAGACCTTTGCCATTTCTCACAGTACTGTTGCAAAAGGTTTCTGTCTTTATTTTTGTACATTCTACTCTACCATTCCTTTGCCCATTTTAATTTTTTTAAGATGCAGATGTCCTTAAAACTTTTTATCAGTTCCTCATCAGATTTAGGATGCAGTTAGATTTTTCTCTCACTCTATATACCAACAATAATTCTAAATAAATTAGAAATTTAAATGTAAAGCAAGAAATCATGTAAGTCCCGGCTAAAAATTTGACTAAATATGTAATCTGTGTGTGAAGAAAACTTTTTAAAAGTAGCGACAAAGACAGACTATTAAGGAATGTAAACTGAGAAAAATATTTGCAATATATGGCAGACAAAAAGTTAGTAGACTTTATATAGAATTTTATTTTTGTTAAGATATACAAAAAATGCAGTTACATGAATACTCATTTATATTACAGAAAGAAGTTATTTAATATTTTATTATTCTTATAGATGCACTAATCTTTAGTTATTACTTCTATAGCAAAAACAAATTAGTTACTCACCAGGAATATGCAGCATAGAACATCAGCAAGAGATAACCAAACTAAAGACTGATTTGGAAAAGAAAAGTGTCTTTTATGAAGAAGAATTATCTAAAAGAGAAGGAATACATGCAAATGAAATAAAAAATCTTAAGAAAGAACTGCATGATTCAGAAGGTCAGCAACTTGCTCTCAACAAAGAAATTATGATTTTAAAAGACAAATTGGAAAAAACCAGGAGAGAAAGGTAAGAATCACATTATTTACTATACAGTAAATACTTATTGAGTACCTGTTTTGTGTCAAGTATTGGAGATACATAGACAATAAACATATCTTAGACCTAAAGGAGACCAAAATCAGGATTGGCAAATAGAAAATTATAATATAGCGTGATAGAAAAGCGAATGGGATGATAACTATAGGAGCACATATAGGGAAGGCACAAAAGATAACTTTGGTACATCTAGGCTTTCTGAACAAAATTACTTCTAGCTCGGCATGATGGCACACACACACATACCTGTAATCTGAGTTACTTAAGAGGCTGAGGCAGGAGGCTTACTTGAGCCCAGAAGTTCAAGCCCAGCCTAGGCAACGTAGTAATACCGTATCTCTACCAGGAAAGAAAAAGAAAAAAAAAAAAAAGATAAACTTCGAATCTGAGATATAATTAGTGAGAAAGAAGTAGCTAGGGAGGAGTGTCCAGGGAGGATGTGCTAAGATCTAAAGGAAAAGGGGGACTTGCCACATTCAGAAAATGAAAGATGTTTCCTATGACTGAAACATAAATAGATGGGAGTGGTAAGAAATAAAGCTGGAAAGTAAAATAGACGCAAAGTCATAACAGAGTACAAGGCATTTGCACATTATCCTCAGGCCATTGAAGGAAGGTGACATGATTATATATACATTTTTGAATGACCACTCTTGCTACTGTGTGGAGAGTGAAGTGGGAGGAACAGTCTGAAGGTACGAATCCAGGTTGGAGAGATGAGGTGTGGGCCTCAGGTGGTGATAGTGAAGATGGAGAGAAGTGGATGGATTCCATCTACTGAGAAGATAGAACCTGGAGAACATAATAAGCAGCTGTGAGAAATGAGGGAGCAGGAGAAATTGTCAGTTATACTCAGCTTTCTGGATTTCAGGAAACTGAATATATGTTGCTGTCATTCTCAGCTTATATTGGAAGCCCGAGTTTATTCAGTTTGTTGCATTTATTCGTTCAGTAATATTTTTTAACCTACCATGTGTGACACACTGTTGTAGGGACTGGTACAAAAAGACAATGACAATGAAAAAAAATTCCTGTCCCATAGAGCTTTCTATAAGTAAAACATAGAATATATCAGATAATGATAAATGCTAAGAACAAAAAATTAACAGGGAATAGGGTCTATGAAGCATTCGGGGGAGGATTAAATTATATAAATACAGGATGGCCAGGAAAAACGATACTGAGAAGGTGATTGATTTCTCAGTTAAAGACTAAAAAAAGGTATTTATGCAGATGTATGAGAAGAGCATTCTACATGGAGAAGAGTAAGTTTTTTTACAAAATAGTGAGGAGGCCAGTGTGCCTCAAGTAGAATAAAGGGAGAAGAATAGTAGAGACAAGTGAGAGAGGCAACAGGGGCCACATCATGTAAAGCCTTGAAAGTCATGTTTAGTGGATGCATAGTTTCTTATTCTGAGTAAAACTATTACAGGGAATTACAGTCATGCATCGCTTAACACCAGGGATATTTTCTTGGAAAGGTATTGTGATGTGATTATATATAAGATTTTTTTTTAAAAAAAGTACACCTATATAAGGCACTTACCATAAATGAAGCTTACAGGACTGGAAGTTGCTCTGGGTCAGTCACAACTACAAGGTCTTCATGGACAGTTACACACATGGAATTGTCATTTCCTATAACAACAATGCCTTCTTCGGGAATACTTCCTGAAGGACCTGCCTGAGGCTGTTTCACAGTTAACTTTAAAAAAAATATATTAAGTAGAAGCTGTATACTCTAATGATAAGAAGTATAATATAGTAAATATATAAACTAGTAACATAGTTATTTATTATTAAGTATTATGTACTATACATAATTGTATGTGCTATACTTTTATACTGCCAGCAGCACAGGTTTGTTTACACTGACATCACCACATACACGTGAGTAATGCTTTACGTTAGTACTTTAAGACAGTTACAGTATCACTAAGTAATAGGAATTTTTCAACACCACATAGTGTTCCCATAAGATTATAATAAAGTTGAAAAATTTACACAGTTACGGACTAATACATTATGGACTAATGGCAGTCCATAGTTGATCAAAATGTCATTATGCATTACATGACTATATTGTAGAATTCTGAGCAGAAAAGCGACGACTGATTTGTGTTTTAACAGGATCACTCTGAATAATAGGTTAAGAGTAGTCTGAATTAGGTAAGAGCAAAAGAAATGAGACCACTTAGAAGACGACTGAAGTAATCCAAGCAGATGACAGTGGCTTTGGCCTAGGGTAGTGGCAAAAGGGATAAGAAGGGTTTGAATTTTAATGATCTTTAAAGGTAAAGATAGCAATGTATTGGTGGACTAGATATGATATGAGGGAGAAAAAGGAAGACTCAAGAATGATACTAAGGTTTTTGGTCCAAGTGGTTGGAAGAATATATTACTAGAAAGGACGACTACAGGAGAGGCAAGTTTGGGATTGGGAGTATTATCAAGGGCACATTTTTCCCCCAACAAGACTCTTTCATAAACAGAAAGAGCTCATTTTAAGCAGTTACAGTTGAGATGCTTATTAGACATTCAGTTGGAGATGTCAAATAGGCTGATGTATAGACCAGCCTGGATTTGGGGGAGGGAGGTAAAATCCTGAGAATATTATCACTTCCATGGCATTTAAAGCTCTGAGACCGTATGAAAACACTTAGTGAATGGGTATAGATAGAAAAAAATTTCCTAGCACTGAGCCTTGGGGTACTCCAATTTTTAGAAGTTGAGAGACAAGGAGGAACCAGCAAAGTGGATAGAGAAAGGGCAGTGAGAATGACAGGAGAATAACAGGCAAATTTAGTGTCCTCATGTTGGCAGCGGCAAATCCATATGCGTTTGCAGCAACCTCAGTTCTTGCCTCCTCAGAATAAAGAATTAGACCAAGGGGCATAAGACAGAGGGAGAGACCGAGACAAGTTTTAGAGTAGGAGTGAAAGTTTGTTAAAAAGCTTTAGAACAGGAATAAAAGGAAGCAAAGTACACTTGGAATTGTGCCAAGTGGGTGACTTGAGAGATTCAAGTGCATGGTTTCACCTTTGACTTGGTGTTTAACCTTTGACTTGGCATGCTTCTGTGGAGTTGCATCCCTTCTCTGATTCTTCCCTTGGGGTGGGCTGTCCGCATGCACAGTGACCTGCCAGCACTTGGGAGGGGCTGCATGCACAGTGTGTTTACTGAAGTTGTACATGTGCTCACTTGAGGCATTCTTCCCTTGCCAGTCTAGTGCTCCTAGAAGAAGGTCATATGCCACCATTTAAACTCCACCATTTTTTCTCTTAGTGTATATGCTTGAGCCCACTTGCCTAACTCCTGAATCTTATTGGGAAGCTGCTGATCACGTTTCAGGTGTTTCTATCTAGTGGGAGACTGTCTTTTCCTGTCACCAGGTGTGATCAATTATTATTTTAGAGACAGTTTAACAATCACCTGGGCATCACCTGATCTGGCCATTCCTGGTTGGGGGTGTGGGGGCAGGGGGTCCCTCCTGTCCTGCTTATGTCTGCCTGACTGCCTACTGTAACAGCGGAAACAAGTGAAGAAAGCACATAAAGTCTGTCAGCATGTCAAATAAAATGAGTTCTGAATCAAGTGAGATAAGGACTAAATAATGGCATTTGAGTTTAGCAATATGAAGGTCATTGGTGACTTTGATAAGAACAATTTTAGTGGAAAAGCAGAGGCAAAGACCCCACAGTAGGATTAAAAGAGACTGGAAGGAGAGCACTTGGAGACAGAACATAGAAGTAAAACTATTGTTACTTGGAGTTATCACACAAACAAGCAGTGAAATCAGGTAATAGCTAGAGGAGAAATTATCTCAGAGAAGATATTTTGCTCTTTGTTTTTGTGTATGTGGTTTTCTTTTTAAGATGGAAGAAATAACAGCATGATTGTAATCTGATAGAAATTGTCTCATAGACGATTGGAAGAGAGAGGAGAAGAGGAAAGTACTAGAGAAAAGTACTTGAGTACTTCAGGATGTTCATAATGAAGGGATTGGCCTTACTCAATCTGTTTTTGTTTTTTGTTTGTTTTTTTTTTTTACCTATCAGAAGAGAAAGTAGAGTATATTGATGTAGATAGGCGTGGTGGGAATTTGTGTTGAGCTCTCTTGTTGAGTTGGGCATATTGAACTTGCAGTGCTTGGAAGATGTCTTTGTGGAGATGTCAAGTCAGCAGTTTGAAGGCCACAAAAGCCTCAAATGTAGATTCAGGGATCATCAGCTGAATACATAAATAAAACCAACTGGTGTCATTGATGAGATACCTCAGGCAGCATGTGTAGAGAGGGAAGAGACAGCACCTAAGACAGAATGCTGAGGAGCATTGGTATTTACAGGAAGGGTAGAAGAGTCACAAAGGCAGCCGAAAAGAAGCCAGGAATGTAGACTAAAAACTAGTAGAGCATGGGATCCCTGAAGTCAAAGCCAGACAGCATGTCAAGAGGGCAAGAGTGGACAACACTGTCAAAAGTGGCCAGCAGGTTGGATGTAATCACAGTCAGGCCAGTGTTGAGTTTTGAGAGAGCTGTTATTCTTGAGATGGTGGAGGCAGAAGCCAGATTTTGGTGTCATGGAGAGCAACTAAACCATGAAAAAGTGGTTACAGAAACTGTTTCAGGATGCTTACCAGTGAGTGGGAAGACAAGGATTTGGGAAATGAATTGTAACACAGGCTATGGGGAGAATTTGTTTCTTTTTAATATGGAAGAGACTTAAGCTTGTTTAATGCTAACAAGAAACAGGAAAAAGAGCTTCTGTGTTAGGAAAGCTTCCTAAACATAACTAAATTTAACATCTGTCTATAGATAATAGTGAAGTGACACATTTGCTTGGAGATGGAGGTTAGTTTATTTTCCTTGAATTTGTCATTTAAATTATAATTTATCTTCAATAATGTTATGTAGGAGATTTTTAAGATTACACTTTTAAGATCAACCATTACTTATATTCTTTGTTCACCTTAAAGCAATCATATATAATTACCCAGCCTGATCCACATGGAATTTCATTCATTGCTAACATCCTGTAGCATCCATCAAATTGCTGTAGATATAAGCCTGTTTGTCACATAACAATACAGTCTTCAAAAAACTTATTCCTTGCTGGGCACGGTGGCCCACGCCTGTAATCCCAGCACTTTGGGAGGCCGAGGCAGGCGGATCACCTGAGGTCAGGAGTTCGAGACCAGCCTGGCCAATATCGTAAAACCCCATCTCTACTAAAAATACAAAAATTAGCCAGGCACAGTGGCACGTGCCTATAATCCTAGCTACTTGGGAGACTGAGGCTAGAGAATCGCTGGAACCTGAGAGGCGGAGGTTGCAGTGAGCTGAGATCGCACCACTGCACTCCAGCCTGGGCTACAGAGTGACTCTTGTCTCAAAAAAAAAAAAAAAAAGAAAAAAACTTCTTCCCATTTTTTCCTTAGAAGACTTTTTATGTCTTATTAAAACTGTGTTTACTTCTAAGGGTAAATAAGTTATCATGCTCCACAGAACTATCATTTTAAATAAGCATTGTAATGTTAAAATAATAATAAATGTGTATGTATGTAGATATAGGAAGGAAGGAAGGACTGAAAGTATTGATAGAACTGTTGGAAATTTAGTTGAACTTTTAATACTATCTAGAGTTGAGAACAAGGAATCATTTTGTGGTTCATATATCCTCCTCTTTCCCCTAACCTCTCCTTTCACCACACTTTCTAGTATATACATAATCAAATAAGGTGAGCATAGGAAGTCTACAAATCACAGATGTTTTCCTCAGATTTCTAAATGAAACACAAATAGATGTTATTAAGCATATGTTCATTGAATTCGTTAAAAGTAAATGAGTGTGATTTTTAATTTTAAGGGAAAGGATGAGGATTTGGAAGCCTCAGGCTATAAGTAAATAAAGCAGGTGGTACAATAACCAATCTGGAATACTGTTATTTTTAATAAAATCAGGCAATGCAATTCCATTCTGGCATTTTCCACTGTCATTGTAGACTGTCATCTGGGACACCTACCATAGTGTTTCTCCAGGATGCTAGCGCCCTCTCACTAATGTATTCATTAATGCCTTGGTGAAAGGACTGCTTTCTAGGTGTTCTGAAGTGGGTTCTTCGTGGGTGGCTGACCAGGTTGCACATGATAGGTCCACTCTGACATTCTCATCTCCTTGAGCCAGTAATGCTCCAGCTAATTGACTGTAGGCCACTATTGGGTCAGAAGTCCAAGCTTCAATTACTCAGCCTAGCAGTGAAAAACTACACCTGAATGTTGAGTCAACACATTAAACCACAAATCCTAGATGAGTATGTGCATTTGATAAATTTGGCTGTATTTAATTTTTTATTTACCCACCTTGGGGTAACACCCTTCTGACCTGAAAGAAGAAGCTGAGGCACAGGATATATTTAAAGAGTTTGCTTGAACCAAAGTGAAGACAGTTGCCAGGAACACACTTCCAGGTTACCTTGAGGAGTGCTCCATTAGATCTTTGTTACAAGTAGGTTTTTAAAGGCAAAAGGAGACCAGGGCTGGGCTGATACAAAGTTGTTTGCCAGGAATTTTCATTGGTTTACAAAATAACATTGATAGCGTGTGAGTCATGGCGTCCAGTGTATGGCATTTTATGGCTCCTTGGTATCAGTTTAGAGCCCACATAGCAAGTGGCCTCAAGAGGTGATCATTGAGCTCAAGGTGGGAGTGAGATGTGACTGCTCTCACATTTTAAATACCTCTCTGGGCCTGATAATTTAAATGGTCTTACATTCCTCAGATAAAAAAAGTTTTCTTTCTCAGCTCTTAGAATTCATTTCTGTATGCTGCCCATACTCCTTCCAATATAAATTGGCAAAATCCTTTAACACCTTCATTACTTTTATATCTAGTCTCTGCTGTGATCTTAACTGTCATCATAGGCCTGAAAACAATGACAAGTGATTGGGTAGGTGTTAAAGATACTTGGCCTCCCCTTTCGCGGTAACTATTACAGGTGAAGTTAATAAATGCTTTATGCAAAAACAGGCTGGTTGCCTCAGGTTATAGCTGCTGTGGGAAAAGGGATGAGATTGCTTCTACCTGCAGAGGTTTGAAGGGATATGAGGGTTCAGAGTTCTCAGCACTGTCTTTTGCTGCCCAAAGGTTCCAAAATGTTGTCCAAAAGACAGAAACTGAGGCAAAATTAATATAGAGTTTATTTGGGCCAAGGTTGAGGACTGCAGCCCAGGAAACACAGAGAAGTGCTCCAGAGAACAAAAAAGAGGCTCAGGTTTTTAAAGAAAGACAAATCAGGAGAGGGAACATACAAAAGTCTTTTGTCAGGAATTCTTATTGGTTTGCAGAAATAACATTGATTAATGATTGGATGTATATTGTTGACCTATATAGGGGTGTGAGTAATGGTGTCCAGAATATGGCATTGTTGGGTTAATTTATAGCTATTGGTGACGCTCAGTCTGGAGTCCACATAGCCGGTAGATTACTTAGCTCAACTGGGAGAATGAGATGTCACTGCAGTCACATTTCAGTGCCTCTCTGGCCGTGCTAATTTAAAGGGGCTCGCATTTCTTGTAAAAAATTTATTTTCTTTCTCACATCTCATGTCTTGGGGACTCCACTCATTCTGAATCCACACCCTTAGCCTAAGAGGTTTGGTCAGCGTTGTGCAGATCAACATTTTGCACCTTCTGATGGGATGCACTGAGAGACATCGTCCTTGTGGTATTCCAGCCAAAAATGAATTCTTTGGGACTAGTCATAAACATCAGATGACCCCAGGTTGAGTGTCACTGTACTCAGTTAGAGACCTGTACATTATAAAACTGTTGTGAGTGATAGGGAAGACTGAGGAACTGTTCTAGACCAAGGGAGATTGAAGAGATATGACTACTAAATGCAACACATATTTCTCAGTTGGATCCTGGCCTTGATAAGAAAAGGAGACATTGTTGGGATAACTTGAATTGGGTCTGTGAATTCAAATGGTAAGTGTTCTAGTAATGTTGATTTTTTAAATTGAGAAGATTGCTTCATGATTATGACAGAGTGTCCTTGACTTTGAGAGAGACACACTGGAGTATTTAGGGGTAATAAGGCATAATATCTGCAGCTAGCTGCCTCTCAGTGGTTCTGAAGAACACTAATGAAAGTAATGGAGAAAATACAGTAAAATATTAACAATTGGGGAATCTGGGTTAAGACGATACAGCAATTCTTTGTACTATTCTTTAACTTTTCTATAAAACTGAAATTATTTCACAGTAAATTTTTTAACATTTCTGAACTCATATAAATTCTAATTATGAACAAAATGTTTGGAATACTATCATTAATCAAATTGATAACACTAGGAAGTGACTCTGGCCTAATATTAAATAAGGGCCCAGCAACTTTGTATTTTGTAAGAATATTGATCTCAAATAATTTGCCTTTGGATAGAACATAATGAATGTGAAGCAGATGGCAACTATTATTTTCATTTTGGTCCATTATCAACCTTGATGAGACCTTCTCTGACCATATAAAGTAGCCACCCTCTCCCAAATACTATTTATTGCATTACCGTATATATATATATATATATAATTTAGAACTTATTATCTGAAATTAGTTCATTTTACTCACTTTTCACTGGCAATCCACCTCTACCAGAATATAAGCTCCGTGACAACAGTAGCTATGAAGACCTACAACAATTTCTTGGCACCTAGTAAGTACTCCATAAATATTTGGTAAATGAATGAACAAATCAGTATTATTGTAATATAAATTCCTGGAACATGCTTTCACCAGGCCTGTCACTACTTATAAACAAGCTGTGTTCTCTGGGGACAATATTTCTGCGGTTCAATCTGATATTTTATGTTTTATGTAACTGTTGGAAAAATAATTTCAAGTTTTCAGTTGACCTTTAATTCCCTTTTTCCCTTTTGTGTTTTGAATTGTGTTAGTCAAAGTGAAAGGGAAGAATTTGAAAGTGAGTTCAAACAACAGTATGAACGAGAAAAAGTGTTGTTAACTGAAGAAAATAAAAAGCTGACAAGTGAACTTGATAAGGTGAGTGATTTAGTCTCATATTAATTGAGTAGTACATGCTAGATGTTCAACACTGATAGGAATTGTGGATATAACTGTGTATTTGTCATACATTTTTGTTTAATAGTCTTTCTCCTGAGTTACATTGCTTCTATGATATATACAATTCTTTGTCGTCTTCTAAAGAGACAGTTTTGCTTATCTCCTTTTATTCTTTGTCCCATTTTTTTTTTTTTTTTTTTTGAGCTTCTTATTTATTTCACTTTCCATCCATATTAGTCCATTTTGGGGTTACTATAAAGGAATACCTGAGACTGGGTAATTTACAAAGAAAATAGGTTTATTTTGGCTTATGGTTCTGCAGGCTGTACAGGAAGTGTGGTGCCAGCATCTGCTTCTGGTGAGAGTCTCAGGAAGCTTTCAATCACAGAAGGTGCAAGGGCAAGGGAGGGAGCAAGAGAGAGACTGGGGAGGTGCACACACCTTTGAACAACTGGATCTCACTGAGTGAGAACTCACTTATCACCAAGGGGATGGTGCTAAACCATTCATGAGGGGCCTGCCCCCATGGTCCAGTCACCTCCCCCCAGGCCCCACCTACAACACTGGGAATCACATTTCAGCCTGAGATTTGGAGGAGACAAACATTGAAGTCGTATCACCATCTGTTCTCTTTCTTACTCTTTTCTTTCATATATTCATCATTTGCCCTGTCGTGGATGGCTAAGTTCAGGCCAAGTTAAGTCTGGCCCTTGGCAAGAACAGGGACAATTAGGCCAAACCTGGAGAAATTGTAACAGCTGATTCATATTCACAGAGGAGAACTGGTAAAACTAGAAATGATACCGGAGTAGGTGATAATCTAAGGAAACCATCTCAACCTAATTTCTAGCTTGAATACAGAATCATGTATTGAACTGAGAAGTAGCCATATTCATGAACAAAATTTCAAATACTTAAAGGAATTTTTTTCCACTTAGCATCTCAGATTTCTCAACTTCCCACCATTCTGCATTTCTTGTGCTAATTCCTAACAAGCAGTTGTAAAAATCCTAATATTAACTAGAAGTTTATTGTTTGTTTGTTTGTTTTGATACAGTCTCACTCTGTCGCCCAGGCTGGAGTGCAGTAGCGTAATAGCTCACTGCAACCTCCGCCTCCTAGGTTCAAAGGATTCTCCTGCCTCAGCCTTCTGAGTAGCTGGGTCTACAGGCGCACACCACCACACCCAGCTAATGTTTGTGTTTTTAGTAGAGATGGAATTTCGCTGTGTTGGCCAGGCTGGTCTTGAACTCCTGACCTCAGGCAATCCGCCTACCTCGGCCTCCCAGAGTGCTGGGATTATAGGTGTGAGCCACCATGCCTGGTTGCATGAGCCACTGCGCCCAGCCCAGAAGTTTTAATAATTCTACTTACATTTACATAAGAAGGGCTAGATAATTGCATTTTATAATGATATCTAGTATTTTCTTCCTATAAAAGTATTATGTTCAATTATTAGTTATTCCAATAACAAACTGAAAGACCATTACTTATAAAATAGAGACTCTTCTTTCTTTTTGTTCTATATGTAGCTCTGTATTTTCACTATTTTCCCCATGATTATTTAGCATTTAAAATGCTAAATAAGTATTTAAAACATTTAAAAAATGAATGCTTGTTTTCTAAGCCTTTAAAAAATGACTAGTTGAAAACTACTTGAGAAAGAATACTGTTCATATTGTAAAGTCTTATAAAGCTAACATATACAAACATTGTAGAAAGTGGCTGAACAGTAAGTAATATAAATTGATATTTTAAGCCATGAACAGTGCATGAACTTTATTGTATAACAGTTATTTCCATTGAAATAAGAGTAACAGTATTTGAACTTTATCCAGACAGGTCACATAATTGTTACTTCATGTGTTGCCTAATTTGATTACAAAATTTAATGTCATTTTGTCCTATAAGACAGAATTTTAAGATTCTGTTGAGTTAACTACTAAAAGATATTACATTTTAAGAAAAATTATATTGGAAAATAAGTTGAATGTAGATCAAATTTTTACATTCAATTATTGGTTTAATTTCATTGCTAGCCATACATTTCTGCTGAGTTTCTCTGAAATATATATTTAGAGAGAATTTTTCAAAACTTCTTATTTGATTAAAATTGTGTTGCAGTCTAATACATCCATGAGAAAGGGACATACTTAGGCCTAGTATATGTAGTGAAACCTCCTTGATGAGGCCTGATGGATAGTTTGTTTTTAAAAAAAAAAAAATTACCCATTCTTCCTAAATTGAAAGGTAGGTAGGATATGAGTAGCACTTTAAGAGCAAATTCATATGGTAAGTAAATATTTAATGTCCAGTGGTTACAGGACAATATTTATTCCTGAAGAAATGGGGGAGATCTGGAATCTCTATTTCCATTTGAACCTCTGCTCTGTTTCTCAAACTTTTTTTCAATTTTTGCATCTCTCTCTTCTTAATTCTCAGTCTACCTTTCCCTTTTTAATTCTGTCTGTCTCAGTGATGATCAACTGAACTTCACCTCACATCTTCACTTTCCATTTATTCATTTTCCAATTTGGTTTGAAGTGGGTATTTTCCCCAAGGATGACAACAGAAGCATTTGCCATTGCTACACCAACTGTTCCATTGGGAACCAGCTTGAAGAGAACTAGATCTCTTCTTGACAGAATTACAGATACAAAAGTCAGAAAGCAATTATTAGGTTAATTTAGAAAGGTATATGTTATAGATTTTCACATTTTTAAACTCCAAAAATAAAAACATTTAAATAAATTTTTAAAAATTAGATGACATTTTTGTAAATCTTATAAGCCCCACTTTTTATTAAAAGATAATTCATTGCAGGCTGGGCACAGCGGCTCATGCCTGTAATCCCAGCACTTTGGGAGGCCGAGGCAGGCAGATCGCTTGTAGTCAGGAGTTTGAGACCAGCCTGGCCAACATGAAGAAACCCCATCTCTACTAAAAATACAAAAATTAACCGGGTGTAATGACACGTGCCTGTCCCATCTACTCAGGAGGCTGAAGCAGGAGAATCATTTGAACCCAGGAGGTGGAGGTAGCAGTGAGCCGAGATTGCACCACTGCACTCCAGACTGAGCGGCAGTCTGTCTCAAAAAATGTATATATATATAACATTGCAAATATAATTAGCCATCTGGTTTCCTTCAATCTCATAACAAATTTTTAAAAATTAGCAATTTATGCCAGTGAGTAAAATTGTTTACAGTAAGAAAAGTTGTAATTTGTTTTTAAAATTTGTTTTTAAAATATTTTCAAAAAATGTGGAAAATATTTAACATGAAAGTTACCTATAATGTGATCATGACAAAATAGGTATTTTAATTTTGTATGTTTCTTTCCAGGTTTTGCCTATATCCTTATTATTACATAATTGCAATCATGTATACAGTCCACTTACTAATCTGCCTTTTCACTTAAAATGTTAAGAGCATTTTTTCATATTCCTATGTAGTCTTCTTATAAGTCAAATGTGTCAATGTACGAATAGTAAAACCTCATTTTCAAACATGAAAAATGAACTAATACTTAAAATTTACTATGTGCAGGTCATCTTCTGAATTACTTCATGTAACTCATTTAATTTTCACAATAACTCTCTACGGTGTACTCTTTTGTTCTTACCATTTTATAGATCAACAAACTAAGTCAAAGAAGAGTTAAACTACTTTCCCAATCTCAAGAATAAGAGTTAGGATTTGAGTACAGGTAGTTGGGCTCCGGAGTCCATGCTTTTATTTGGTAATTATGCAGAGATTAACTTTTTTCTGACCAATTGCACATAAATTAAGCAATCTGTTGAAAACTACTTGTCACTGTTGCAATCTGACAGTGCAGAGTTTGCATTTTCCTCCTCTTGCAAATATCCAATTGAAACCCCAACCACAAATGTGGAAGGGCTATCAGAAATAATGGTAATCAAAAATGGATATTAGTGCAGGAATTAATGAAGAGAAGATGCTGCATATACAACCCTCAAAAACAGCTGGTGGACTTCTGGCTATGCTAATATGAAGAGATTGATTAATCTTCTTAAAAAACTGCTAAAAAGCAAGTGCAATTGTCAAAAACAACCATTTCGAAGTCTTGGAGTTAACCAAAGGAAGATGACAGCTACAAAACACTGCTAAGATGTATTAAGGAATATCTGAACAAATTGAGAGATAACTATGTTAATGGATTGAAAGACTCAATATTGTTGGGATAGCAATTCTTCCCAAATTGAGCTATAAGTTCTGGGACATCCGTATCAAAATTCTGGTAGGCTTTTTGCTGGAATTCACAAGCTTACCTTTAAAGTTATAGAGGAATAGAAAAGACCAAGAATAGTTCAGATATTTTGAGTAAAGTTAGAAGTTGGAGGATTAACACTATTTAATTTTAATACTTGCTGTAAATATGCAATAATCAAAAAGATGTAGTACTGGCGTAATGAAACAGAATGAAGAGTCCAAAAATAAGCTCTTACATTTATGGTCAGTTGATTCTCTGCAAAAGTGCCAAGGCAATTCAATGGAAAAAGGATAATCTTGTCATATAGTACTGGAACAATTGGATATCCATATGTGAGAAAAAATGAACTTGGATCCTTACTTCATACCTTATACAAAAATTAACTCAAAGTGGATCACAATCTGAAATATAAAACGCAAGCATAGGAGAAAATCTTTGTGATTTAAAAATGTCAAGATAATGACATTAAAAGCACAGTGAATGAGAGAGAAGTAATGATAAATTGAACATCAAAATTTTAAAAGAATATTAAGAAAATGAAAAGACATGCACAGATGGGGAGGAAATATTTCCAAATCATTTATCTGAAAAAAGACATGTATTCATAATATGTAAAGAACTCTTAAGGCTGGACGTGGTGGTTCACACCTATAATCCCAGCACTTTAGGAGTCTAAGGCATGAGAATCACTTGAGCCCGGGAGTTCAAGACGAATCTGGGAAATATATAATACCTTATCTTTACAA